CCCTGGAATGTCAGCACAGCACAGTATTTACTTACATTTAACAGATTATCCTTCTAATGTACAACTCTGTGTTTCTATATATCCAGGGAGATCAGCACTTGCCATACCCTACCTGCCTCCCAAGTCTGCATTTGTGAAAATTCAATTAGCCTGCACCTTTTATTTATATTTCTTTATGGACTGATTCTGCTAAATAACCTCAGTACTATTACAATGCACAGGAAATGAAGCTACCATTTGTGAAGAAGCAAAACTCCTAGCAATAAAATGTCACAGGGCCAATCTCTAAGTTCAATACTTTACAGTTTAGAATATCAGTCAAACATCCTGTAGGCAAGAGATGTCTAAACATTAGCACATTTGAGAAATGCCAGAATTAAGATGCAATATAATTCTATAATTCTCAATGCTTACAAATTCTCACACAAGTTCTTAAATATTTCTGAAAAGACTGGGGGCCTGAGCGACTAATTGCCCTCTCAAAGTTAACCTTGAAACCAAAATGCCCAAACACTTGCTATGGAGCCGAGCAGCACGTGAATAGAGATGAAAGCCAAAGCATATATTAAAGAGATGACACTTGTTCACACCACCCCTATCTTAAAATCCAGATTATCCTAAACTATCATTAGGATGTTATAAAGGCACTTTTATTACAGCTGAGGAAGCCTGGAGAGCACTAAGTCACATGCTGTAAGAATGTGCCTGCTGATGGGTAGGATTTCATGTACTGCTGTAGGGAAAGAAGCTCCAACCAGTGTAACACAGAAGTACAGTCAGATTCTACCAACAGCTTTATTTAGTGCAGCTGAAGCAGCCAGAGAGATTTCTTTCCTGTTGTACTGCTGACAGAAACTACTTTGACACAAATACAGTTTGGATTAAAAAATGAAAACCTTTTATTTCATTCTGTGGAAGCATCCTAACTCAGTAGGAGTGGAAATACAGAGTAAGAATTCCTGTGGAATATCAGTTATGGTGATTTTCTGTGCCAGGGCAATTGCCCAACCCAAACTGAACTGAGAGCACTCACACTGGTGATTTACAGAGAAAAAGCTCTGATATTCCCACTTCCATGAGTCATCCAACACCCAGCAACAAAGATTAAGGATTTGAGGAAAATGAAAAACTTTGAGGAACGGCAGTTCCTATAAACTTCGAAAAATCACTATGTGATATTTTACAACAGGAAAATGTCTTCAAAGATATTAAAATCTGAACCTTATCCAAAACTACTGTGAATTCCTTAAAACTATTACTGAGCCTATGCACTGGGATACTCTCAGTGCTGAACTGCTTGTACACCACCCACTGTCCCCATCCCACACAACAGGTACAGGGAAAAGGATCAAATCATTACCTAGGCTGAGCTGTTCTCTGGATCTGATATTTTCCAAGCTGCTTTTCAGAACAGTCAGATAAGCTGCTCTGCAGTTCATGTAGAAGTTTGCTTCTTCTGTATGCTGGGACTTCTTCCCTTGGGAATATTCCGCCTGTGTGGCTTTCTGAACGGAGAGGGAAGCGTTATTCCTGGGACTGCTGGCCATCCTGTGAAGGGTACAATTACAGTTCGAATTTGTTACCATTTCCCTGCTTAATAATGGCTCTGTTTGTCCTGTGAAACACAGACTGGCACCAGTTATCCTAGCATTTAGATGATATCCTTCCCATTGCCTAATCTGGGATGGGAATAACTGTCTACACTTGTAGGTACCACCATGAGATCCACAAAAAAAAAAACAACCTTGAGCTCTACTTATTAACTCACAATTTATTCTTCACTGGTAGTAAAAAAGTTTAATTTTATGGTATTTTATTTTAATTTCAGACATTTGACATTACAATTATTATCTAATATATGTTAGATAATACAAATATTATATAATCATGTTTTTGAAAGCATAAAAACACCTTTTCATGTTATCTGTGAAACAAGCCATTGCTATCCATGCTTTCTCTTTTTGCAGTTGTAACTCAATAAAACATATGGATAAAAGCAAAACTGGCCAAAACCATCACCCTTAGTCTTTCAAATATGCCAAGCCAAGCACACAACTCTACTTCTAAGAGTTATCTAAATACAAATAATAAAAACAGATGTGCATAAAACTTTAAGAATATGCATAAAACTTCGAGCAACTTAGACTATATAATTGTTAATAAATTGAAAAAACCATGAAACTCGCTTTTTTCCTCAATTATTAAAACAGTTCCAAGCAGTAACTGATGCTGTTTGCTCACCAATGGCCAGTAAATGGTAACAGCAGCTTTCTGCTTTTTCCAAGGGTGATTAAGGTTTTTAGAAGGCCACCACAGAGGGCCACTAAATCCTGTTTTGCTGTTGCTCTAACAGCCTCTCGTATTATTTTACCCAATGTTGACTTCAGAAAATATATTCCAGTATAATAAATGGAATATCTCAAGTTCAGCAACAAGACAACGACATCAGAGGGTCCCCTTCAGGACTCATTGGATCTTGACTCGGGAGGCCTAAATCACTTGCACCTTGGTGAGTTATACAGGTCTTTTACACTTGGGAAAGGAAGATAATAATCTCTTCTCATGGATGAAGTACCCTATTTGTAATACCCAGCCTGCCTGCCTGACACTTTAATATTACACAGGCACTAGAAAGACCCCACAGGGACCCCCTGCCACAGTCTGGCTCCTGCAAACGGGTATCACTATAATAAAGCACCAGTGTTACACACACAAAATGGAACTGGGGGGAAAGTCAAGGAGGAAAAGAAGAATAAATGTTAATTTTCCAGTAACTAGTTTGTAAAATGTGAACTCCCGTTTGTGCTCCTTGGACTTCCCACTGCTGAGATATTTCCTGTGTGGGCCACAGTTCTGCCAAGAAGTGCTACCAATCCACTGAGGGAAATCCAGGGAGCAATGGCTCAGTGACAGCACTGCCAGCAGCCCCATGGCTTGCGCTGGGACATTTTTACTGGATAAATGACACTTTAGACAAAATAGGTGGAGGGGAGCATTCCAGGCCAGGCTTTTAAACTGGGAGAGAGTAGGTTTAGATGGGATATTGGGATGAAATTGTTCCCTGTGAGGGTAGTGAGGCCCTGGCACAGGTTGCCCAGAGAAGCTGTGGCTGCCCCATCCCTGGAAGTGTTCCAGGCCAGGTTGGATGGGGCTTGGAGCAACCTGGGGTAGTGGAAGGTGTCCCTGCCCATGGCAGGAGGTGGAATGGGATGGGTTTTAAGGTCCCTCCCAACCCAAACCAGTCTGTGATTCTATAGAGCAGGAAGATGACACAAGAACTACTACTTTTGATTTTTGGTCGTATGATTCTAACAGATAAAAAACATCTTCCAAACAGGAATTTAGTCACTGAATCACAGAATCCCAGAATCACTGAGATTCTTAAAGCTCTCCCAGCCGATCGAGTCCAACCTGTGCCCAATCCCCACCTTGTCACCCAGCCCAGAGCACTGAGTGCCACGTCCAGTCGTTCCTTGGACACCTCCAGGGATGGGGACTCCACCACCTCCCGGGGCAGCCCCTTCCAATGCCTGAACACCCTTTATGTGAAGAAATTATTTATACAAAGTCAGACCCCTCACGACAACACTGACCTTCAGGACCGAGGCTCATCCGTAGAGCATGCACGCCTGCACAGGGAAGCTTCGCCCTGCTCCGGCCTCGCCCACCTGAAACGAGGAAACTTTTACCTCATGGATCTCGTCACCTCCCTCACGGGTGGGCGCAGCCCCTTTCAAGGACTAAATTTACCCCCCACTGTAGAAAACATTACAGTCCCCTTCCCCCAGCGCATCTGAGGGGAACCAACAACCCTCCTTCCCTCCGCCCCCCCCAGGCAGCCTCTGAGGGGACCCCTGAGGTGCGTTTGGCCGCCCCGAACCTCCCGCCCGAAGCTCCCCGGCCCGGCTCGTACCGCGCACGGCGGGGCCCGACGAGCCCAACTCGGCCCCGGCCTGGGCCCCGCAGCCCTGAGGGGCTCCCCCGCCCTGCTCCGGCCCGGCCCGCCCTCGGCGTCGTTTCCAGCCGGCGGCGTTTGGCGGGAGCACGGCGGGAGCTGCGAGAAGGCGGCGGGAGCTGCGAGAAGGCGGCGGGAGCGGCGGCGGGATGTCGTGGGTATCGAGGGGCGAGCAGAGCCTTTCTGCTCCCCCTTCCGCTCCGCTTTCCTCCCTTTTCCCTCTGCTCTCCTTTTCTCCCCTCTTCCTCTTCTTCCCTCTCCCCTTTCCCTCCGCTCCCCTCACGGCGGCGGGGCGGCTCCCGAGGGCGGGAAGCCGTGAGGGGAGCGCGGCTCCCGCCGAGCGGCGGCTCCCGAGCCCCTTCCCAGAGGGGAAAAGTGCGCCGAGGGTCGTCTGGGAGAGGGGAGGAGCGGCGGGGAGAGGGCGGGATTTGTTTCCAGAGGAAAACAGGGAGCGGGGAATGCTTTCGATGGCGGTTCCCCTGGCGGGGTTGGGTGGGTGATGTTGCTGTGGGTGATACTCTCTGTGTTCTCTATTTCCGAAGGGGGCCGGGGTGACTCCTTTCAATGGTGCCCAGCGGCAGGACAAGGAGCAATGGTCTTAGACGAAAACACAGAGAGTTTCACCTCAACACGAGGAAGAACAACTTCGCACTGAGGGTGGCAGAGCACAGGAACAGCTGCCCAGGCAGGGCATTGGAATCTCCCTTTCTGGTGACATTCCAAACCCACCTGGACTCGTTCCTGTGTCACCTGCTCCAATTCTGGAATATCCCCAGTGAGGGAGACTCCACACCTTCTCTGGGCAATCCCAGTGCTCGGTTGCTGCACAAGAAAGAGTTTCTTCCACATTTTCAGGTGGAATTTCCTGGGCAGCAGTTTCTGCCCGTTGCCTCTTGTCCCATTGCTGGGCACCCCCGAACAGAGCCTGGTCCATCCTCTGACCCCTCCCTTGAAGGGATTGGCAAAAAGCAGGTTTTAATATGGATTTATGAAAGTGTGACTTTAACAGAGTTCAGCAGCAAGGTTCACTCTATTACTACATTGATGAAACGTCCACAAGAAGGTAGGATCAGAATCCCTTTAGGATGATTTACATGGAGACGGGATGCAGAAGGGTCAGGTGTGCAAAGGATTTGGATACAAAAGATACGGGTGCAGAAGGTGTTACCAACTCCAACAGCAGGAAGGTGAGGCCATAAGATCCGTGATGCCTCTATGTAGGCTTGGGATATTATCCCAGTTTATAACTCCTTATGGATTTCAAAGGTAAATGTTAGAGCTACCAGAGGTTCCAACCTCTGCCAGTCCTGACCATGGAATTTGTAGTAGTCATGGCAGGATACAAAGGAAATACAAAGGAAACTTAACAATACACAAATTTTGATTTTTGTTTGTTTGTTTGTTTAAGTCAGCTTCCCACTTGTCATACACCGAGTTTCACCACCATTTAAGCTGAACACAGGAAATTATAGGATTTTTTTCTGCTTTTCCAATTGAAAAGACATTTTCACTGGCACTTTTGAAGGTGGAGCAATATGTCAATAGCAGAGAGGTGCTTTGTTTTTTTCTCCAGTAAAAGTAGAACCTAAAGAGGAAACAAACTGAAGTGGCCTCAAAATGCACTACAATAACCTCTAGGGCATTTTTAATGAAATAATGTGATCAAATCCCTGATTCTCTATGTTTTTTTTGTGCATTAACCTTGGACATGGCTGTCGCTGTTGCATTCATTCATAAATTATAAAGGAGAGGAAGTGAAGTTCTTTAACCTGATAAATATTATGGGCAAAATAATCATTTCAGGTTGGACAGCTGGCTGGAAACACGTGCTATCATACTCTGCATGGTCAAGAAAATAAATTAAGTCTAGTCAGGCTACAATTCAAGGGTAGAAAACTCAGACTGATTTGTTAAATACTGTCACCTCATGTACCTCATCTTTCCATCTCCTTTTCTTGTTCACAGAAGAAATATTTGGTTCTACACTGGAGCCAAAGTGAGGCTTTTCCAGCCATATAAAAAAGATAACCCAAACTAGAACTGCTGCTCTTCGTGTTGTTCCCTAAAATACTTCAGCAATTTTGTTTGCATGTATTGGTTTCTCACCATTTGGAAGATCAGAGGGAAGACACTTTGGCCAACAGGGTTTTTGTTTTGGGTGTGGGGATGAATTTTGTTTCGGAGTCCAAGGCAGGGAGCACAAATTTTAAATGATTTTGATGTAACTTCACACATTATGGCATTGAAAAGACAAACATTAAAAACACAGCCACAAGCAAACGAGGCTGCTGTGTAGGATGGATTGGGAAACACAAGGAAAGGTTGTCTAAAGCTAAAATTGTGTCTTCCAATGTAATATTCCAGCCCTTTCCAATGTTTAAGTGCTTAGAATGAGGCTCCAGCTTTGCCCCCATAACCTGGGGAGTTTGCAGGGGTTTTGGAGAGAAATTTGGGCTTCTCTGTTCCTGTCCACAATATTTGACAGACTCCAAAGAACATACCGTTGATCAGTCCACAACTTTCCCCCTAAGAAATTTTTCTCAGTGTTTGTAATTTAATGGGATTTTCATTTAGTTTCTCATTTCTCTTCATCCTACAGCTGTGCTGAATCCAGATCCTGCTTTTTACTTTGCCTTTCAGTCATAAAATCTTCCATCATCACATGCCTTGATACAACATGCAAATGCACTGGCCCCCAGAGCATCCTCTCCATTAATAAATAGGATATTTCCCTGCTGCCATGGGCTGGAAGATGGAATGGAGTCAGGATTCCTTCAATATGGCTTTCTCTTTAAAAAAGAAATACACTGTAAAGAATTCCATCAAACTGTTACAGCTTTCACTGCCCCTTGGCCAGAATTTCATAGGCTTTTTTAATTTTAATGTTACCTGTTCCTTTGGCATTTTTAAGACAGAACATTCTCTTCCCCTTTTTGAAATGGAGGTGGTTGTAAAACAGTTTTCATATAAGACCCTTACCTGAGTTACATATCAAAGATGTGCTTCCATTCCTATTGTCTTTAATTTACAGCAGCATAAATTTAAAAAGGGTATGTTTGGAATGAGGTCATCTTAATTCCTTACAAGGCAAAATGTTCTTTTCCAAGATGAAAACTGAACCAAGTTCTTGAAATATGATGTGTATTGCAAAGCCTGTTTAATTCAATATAATATATACATTTCTTGGGGACTGTTCTTACACAGATTTTTTTGTTTCTTGTTGTTTTATATCGTGGTTTAGACCAAGATTTAGGAACGTGCTTAAAAACTTTCAGTTGTCTGTGGGAAAAATAGTCTTAATTTATGTTGACCTTTCTTTCCTTGGAGCATTTAGCCTGCATTCAATAAAATTTTGATGACTGCTCTTTAGCAGACAGCTGTACCATATAAAGTATTATAAATATTCAGCTTTCCCCTTCCAGTGTTGCCATTAACAGCTGGGCATCCAGTTCAGCAGAGCAGATTTTGCAGAGAGAGCTTGGCATGTTCCTGAATCAGGAGAAGGAAGAAGGGAAGCAAATAGTTTCTTATGGTTTGGGGACCTGTAAAGACATAGAGCATCTGTTCCCCTGTTAAGTCATAGTCTGGCAGCACTGAATCATGTTAAGAGCTAAAATGATGGGAAAAACTACTTTTTTCTCCTTGGCTGTACCTGTATTTTAAATGGCTTTATGCATTATTTCAACTAATGGCAAAATCCTTTCAACCCTTGCTCACAAGGTATGTAAAAGAATGGTTTTTTTGGTGTTTATATCTTGGGGAAAAAGCAAATATTCAGTGTGATTCCGCTTCAATGTCTTGATTTTTATCTCTATTATAAAATGGAGAATCAGGTTTTCTTATGCAAACACTTTATCCTTCTAAACAAGCAATGTTCTTGGTACACAGTATTTTAATCAGTTAATAGATTTGCTTTGGATGGATGACATTTGTTTTCCTGTGTAAATGTGAAACACAACAAAGGAAACTGTCTTTAAAAATATCAATTATAGATGTTTCTAAAAGAAATCTTTGTGTCTAGATACCATAAAACTTGTCCATATTTTTCTCTTGCAGAGTTAAGAGAGCATTAAAGTTGGACACTGTCAAAAAAGATAATGTAAGTATTTTTTGGTGTATGGAACCATCTGTTTATATGTATATATATATATATATTTATATTTATATATGTGTGTTTCTATAGGTGTGTATATATATTTATATGTGTATGTATCTGTGTGCAAAAATTATGTGTGTATAAATGTGCTATTTCATTAGAGCTGCATTTATATTGTTACAGATTGGCTGTTGTCTGGGAGAATCCTAAGGCACAAAATTACTGCTGACAAATATTACAGTATAAAACTGATAGTATTTCATTTGTCACAGAACTGCCTGGTGTTAAGTAATGTACCTCTGCATGAATCACTTGAAAAATATGCACATTGTTATTGCCATCACTATTTACCCAAGAGCTGAATGAGTTAAGATCCTTGGTGAAATAATTTATTAAAAATTAGCTCCATTATCCTGAGGAGCAAATGCTCTGCCCTGTAATTGTACATGGAACAATATGGAATTATGGCAATGCTGGAATCTGCATATTACAAACTGCAAAATTGAAATGAAAACATCAAAGGCATTTTCATGTCAGAGCTGTAATTACCTCCCTCAGCTAATCTGGCAGAATGAAACAATAAAGTACAAACAGTGCCATAAATTTCCCCACAGTTATCACAATGAAAATAAAATTGTACTGGTGCTATTATTTTTTGTAAATGCAGCTCCAGCGTCCTCCCAGTCCCAGCATGGTGGGACATATGTCGGTTTATTATCTCTCCTACCACGGTGGGTGTTGCTGCAGAGGATTTTGGGAGGATGGCAGGCTTTAAAGGAAGGAAAATTTGGGAAAAGTACAGGGGGAAATAACTGATCAGCAAACGAGCTCCCGGGAAATCTCCATCTCTGTGCCACTGTGAAGAGATTTGCTCCTATGCAGCACATCTTTGGAGGCCTCACTGCTGTTTAGCAAGGTAGAAATTCACAATTTTAAAAAATTCTTCTAGATTTTTTTTATAAATTTAAACAAAGGTGGCAAAATACCGCAGTGGCACTAAAAAAAAATCATTAGCAATTTAATTAGCAGCTTAGTGTACCATTACCCAACTTGTTCTGCTCACAGTGCAGCTGTGAGTGTCATTTTGCATCTGTTTCTTAGGCTCTGGTAACATTTTTGTAGGTGAGTGGTCCAGCTGAAATTCCATGGAATTCTTTTTCTGCCTTAAAGCAGATGAGCTAAAAGGAGTTATTTGATGGTTGCCTGCATTCAGGTTTTGTGTAGCAAAAAGCTTCACAAAAGCCCATCTGAGTGATCAAAACTTTCAGTGGGAGCTCAGTGATGTGGGTTTACACTGATTTTTAGTTCATACGGCGCCTCTAATGACATGTCAGAGATTTAAAGTGTGCCATAATTAAATAACTTCTTAGAAGGTAGGAAGGAACACAAAGTAGTAAACACACATTATTTGACTGAAGTATCTGTTTCATCTTTGCTGTTTCTACAGTTCATTCCCCATTTTTCAGGAGTCCGTCATTCCACCTCCTGGTCAAAATACCTATGAACTAAAGATCAAAAATCGGTAGTTTTAGATTTTGGAATGTTTGCATGATATCATTAAAAAATTGCATAACTGGAGGAGAAATTCTTACTGCCAAAGAAATACTGTCCTTGTAAGTACAACAGTAACTTCCTCCAGGTAGTTGCTCAGATGTGGATATGCTTATCCATATCCAGAGGTGGCTGCTGTTCAAGCAGGAAAAATATCCTGAAACCGTGAGCAGATTGGAGATTTGCTGACATGTAAGTGCCTAAATTGGCATTGATATTTAAATTAATATTTCATTTAAAGATCATTTGAAACATTTCTTTAACCTGCTTGGGTGTGGCAAAACAGTGGCAACAGACTGAGCGTTTCCATCAGGTGTTGTGTCAGTACTGACAGACAAGAGCATAGATGGCTGAGGTGAAATTATTTAGACTATTTGAGACTAAAACAAGACAGAGGTGAGTGGGCAGCAAACTAAACATTTCAAAATGTGGTGTAAGTCATATTACTAATGACTAATACCAGCACTGCTGGTATGATTTCACATATTGAAATCCTAAGCCAGACACAAAATTTGGGGTTTAAGGAACTTACTTGGGATTTTTTTAAATTAACATTTGTGTAGATAATCATTAGAAATAACTATCTTTTGATGCAATTAAAATCTAAAAATAGTTGCTTATAGTTCTTATGTGTCTTAAATTCTTAATACTGTAGGAAAAATAATATCAGGTTTAGGCTGCTTTAGAAAACCCCAACCAGCCAACCAGGTGATACCTAAATCTCTGGAAAACACAGACTTTTTCTTTGTGGAAAAAGGAGCTTTTATTTTTTTAGAGTAAAACTAATATTAATGAGGAGGGGGAGTGATAGAGCAGCTTGGTGGGCACAAGGTCAACCCACCACAACATACAACGTGGGCTTCCAGTTTATGGGAGCACATAAAGTTAGGAATTACTGAGGAGAACCTCTTACCAGATGGTAAATGTTCAGAGAGATTTTATCAATGTTAATCTAGATATTTTTGTATTTTGCTACATTTCAGCCATCTGATGCAACACCTCAGAAGGTCAGAAAGAAAAATCTGAGTTCTTACTCCCCAACAACAGGAACACGCCAGATGAGTCCCTTTTCATCCCCTGTGAGCCTCAAGGAACAAAATCCCAGGAACACCCCAGCAAAAGGTTAGTTGAACATTCCCTCTTTCTAAATATAATATTTTCCTGATTATTGGCTTGACCTAGTAACTTGTCTCTCGTGTGCTATGTTTGTTTCCTTTTTCACCTTAAAAATTATTAATGTCTTTTGGAAAAGCTGATGTTGACTTTTAAAGCTTGAATCTTTTCAGTCTAAATCTTGGGAGTGTTTATGAAACAACTTGTTTATGAGGCAAGTTTTGCTTTCTGTTGCTCAGTATTAAAAATGTTTGGCTTTGACTCAGTAAAAAGCTTCCACACTGGCATTTTTGTCAATAATTCCATTAATTCCCCTGCTTTGGCATGTTAGCAAAGTCCTTTTTTATTTTGTGTATTTTTTGACAATTATTTTTCATGGTAAGGCACTTCAAGGCAATTTTTAATGAACATAATACTGAATGTCATTAGCTTTCAGAAAATATATAATTTTTTTTTATAATTGTATTATTTCCAGTTCCCTTTAGGATTTACACCCCCTTAGTTCCACGGTCACAGTTTCTGGTGCAAGCTCCAAGTGCTCAAGAAGTGGATTTTCAGTGGCCTGACGTGCTTTTATGGCTCTGTAGGTTGTGGGGGTGATCTCTTTAAGTGTCAGGGAGCCACAGGGAAGAAGTGATTGTGTGTCTCAACCAGTCATGGAAACCTCATTTATTGAGAGGACAGTCTTGCTTCCACAAAACTGAAGATTTATCAGCTGATATGTGTTTTATTTTTGTGGCCTTTTAGGAACTGTGTTGGGATTTGCAGTGCAAGGCCTGCATTATGTACTTCCAGGTCTGGGATGGAGGCAGTAATCCTCTGTCTTTGTCACAGGGAGCAATTCCTCCTCTCAGACTAAGTGGCTTCTTCTTGATTCCTGAAAAGATGGTTATTTGGCATGGAGGGCATATCCATGCTCCCACTTCCTTCACATCCCAAAATCTTCAAGAGACATTTAATCAGCCCTTTAGGTACTGACCCCTGCCATCTTAAAAGACTCTAAGCAGTTTCTCTTTGGGATTATTTTCCTCTTCAACAAAGTTGCATTAAAGCTGTGTCTTAAATGTTTCCACAAATACTCCTGGTTATGTGTTGCATTTTTTTCTTGGAATCCAAACCCACTGGTTTCCAACTTTCTTCTTACTGTGAAAAGTAACTGTTCCAGTGAGCAGCTTCCTGACTCTGTTTATTAGGGAACTTATGTCCTTGGCATCTAAATTTATCTACTCTGTTTTCCTACAGAGAGAAAGGTGTTTTCAGATATTTCCCAGGTCAGATTTCTCTGTCAGTCCCTGCTTTTATCAGCAGAAGGGAAATTTTGTGTTTGAATGCTTTAACTTCTATATCAAGATTTGGTAGTACTTGGTGGTAAATATGAATCTCTTCACCCTGTACAAAGAAACCTTTCCACGAGAGGAGTTGCCAGTAGTTGTTCTCCTTACCTTTGCAAAAGCTTTTAAAATTGTATATAATGATAGCAGTTAAAATTAAAAATCTGTGGCTCTCTAGATATGTTCTCTTGACTATCCTTATTACCTGCTTTAATGAACTGTTAATTTTCATGAGGACACACAAATGTTTAAATTACTACAACTTTTCAAACTTTCCCAGCCTCTCTGCACTTGAATTAGCTAATGCCTTATCTCTCAGGTGAAAGTAGGACGGGGGCAAAATGTCTTGAATTAAAATGTATATTAGGATGTCAGTGGGAAAGGTGAACCTGCATTTCCATCCTGATATTAAGGATGGACATAGGGGAACATTCCTGTTGCCTATAAAAAGCCTGATCACATGAGCAGAGCTGACATTTAGATGGATAATTACTCAGTAATGTAGCACTAACCAGCTCTTTTTTTCCTGTGTTCATATAGGTACAAAATGGTGTTATACAATTATTAAATCACAGGTTTCAGGGTGTCCTTTTAAACCCACAATCTCTGTTCTCCTTCTGAAAAAACACTTTTATTTTAAGAGCTGCAGTGCTTTAATAGGTTCTGGATATCACCTTTGAGGTGTTACACTTTAATCAATATTCTGTTTTTCTGTGACCAGTATGTAAGAAAACAACAGAACAAAAATTACTACAAAATTAAGTTCAAGTTCTATTGACTACTTAGATTTCAAATTGAATCTTTGAGGGTCTTAACCTTCAGCTGCTGTATTGGAACAGCTTAAACTTGTATAGCACTTTGTCATTCTGAGATATTTCTAAGTGTTTTACAAAATAAAAATTAAGAGTTGATTCATCCTTGAGTGCTGATACTTGTGTGTAATAATTCAAATTTTATAAGAAACCAAAGTGTTTAATGCTTAGTGTGGCCTCCCTTTTTAAGTCTGATGTCAGGAGGATTTATTACAGAGAGATGTGAAAAGCACCTCCTTCCACAGGGTGGGATCTGGGATTGCCAGAATTATCCCAACTTCCAGTTATTAATACTCTAATCCCAAGGTTCCCAGGAATATAAATTTAAAGTGAGTTGAAGAGAGCTCAAATTACAAAAGTGTAAATTGTAGTGAATTTAGTGTGGTTCATTCCAGGGGATCTGTCCTGCTTTCCAAGTGAGTTTGGGGGTTTTTTTCCTCTTCCTAAAAGATCATTCTAAAATCAAGATTCACAGTAACACCTACTTCACGTGCTTCAAATAGAAAATACCTTATTTTTATCTTTATTGTTTCTTTTCTTCCTTGTGAACTCCGAGGAGGTGAGAGAGAGCAGAGCAATTCCCACACTGGATTATCCAGGAGAGGGCAGCCTCCAACAGAGCAGGATGGGTGAGTGCATCAAATGCGTTCACTTTGTCATGGGGGCAGTGATTTTTATTTCATATTTCACACAGAATTCAATTAATAGCCATTATTTTTAGTGCTTCTGGTTGCACAGGATTAGATATTCAAAGGCACTGAATGGTTGTAGGTGTAAATTAATGCAAAATCTTTTACAATTCTCGTCTTTTCTGCCACAATCTAATTTTAAGGTATAAATTTCCTGACATTAATGAACTTGGGGCAATCCCCAGTTAGTAAAGCACTTAAATAAATGTTTCAGGTGAGGTGTCTGATGGGCTGTTTTCCTAGATAGGCATTATTGAACTAAATGTCGTGTTTGAAGTTGTAGCTCTTCCTTTTGAGCTCTCAATTTGTCTGTTGGGCTTTTTCCTTGTCATGGATGTTTCCCCCACCATGAGCTTGAAATTCCTTCATTGTAGGACGGTGTTTTCTGAGTGATGGAGTTCGGCAGAATTGTTTGGGTGACGTGTTACATAGTGAAAAGTAAAATATTAAAATTATACCAGTGGCAAACTAAACTGACTAAAGGGCTTTTTTGGTGGTTCAGCAATTCCCCTGGGCAACTCATTTCTTGGTGACAGAACCCTGAACTACAGAACAATTGGAGTAATCAGAGCCTTCATTGACATGTAAATGTTTGCCTTCAGTAGTTCAGTATATTTTTAAAAGCTTTACAGAAGACCAGCAGTTACTGACCTGCCACTAAAAACATTTATAAACCAACACCTACACTTGATATTTATGTGAACTTCCAGACACTTGATTTTTACAGGTGGAAAATATATAGTCCAATACACTGCTATTATTGTTTTCTTTTCCCATATGGAAATGTAGTTTTCTACATTTCCATACTGTAGCTCTGTTCCTAAATTTGAGGGTTTTTATGAGGATAATTCTCCCTTCTGTGAGAGGAAACAGTAAATAGATTATTTGATTTGCATCTTTAAATGGTTCAAAGAGAAAATACCCTAAACTATCATGGCAGGAATTTTTTTAATGTGCAAATCCTGAAGAAAATCCTCTGATACTGCTGAACCTGAGTTCCTATCCTTAAAATTAGGATATAGGGGTTTTTTGCGGTTGGGATATGAATCCCAACCAAAGGCAGGTTGGTTTTGGTGTTACAGGTCACTGAGCTGCATCCAACCTGATTACATTGGGAAGAAACTCTGGGAAACATTGCAAACATGGAATTTCAGTGAGTGGTGATTAGAGTAATTGGAATTGTTTTACTTTTTCTGGACCCAGGTTCCTGAAACTGCAGTCCCAAGTGAGAAGTTCATTGGCCAGAATTCTGAAAATAAGAGCAAATCTCACGAGCCTCCAGGTCTGCTTTACACTGATTTATCTTTTATCTGCTTTTAATACAGGATTTGAAATCAAAATTAAAATTTTATATGCAGCATTTAAATTTTAGGGAAGAAAATAAAAGACTTGAAGCCAGGCAGGTTTGACTTGGAAATCCAGAAAATGCAAAAAACCTCAGAACTTAGAAAAGTTTTTTAAACTAGAAGAATTGCTTTTCCAAGTCCACCATTTTTAATTTGTATCACTCCTCCTTTCGTTCACAAATAAAAACATAGGTAGTTCTCAACTGTTATTTAGAACTTGAAATATGAATTATTACTACATAGATTTTTGTGTCCTTAAAAATGAAATATCCCTTTTTGATGAAGTGATGGTACTATTTAATTTACCACTAATATGCCATCATTTAATAGTTTGTTTAATGCATGTTAAAGTGCAAATCACTCTTCTGTTTTATTCCCATTTTGTTTCATTTTTAATAAATGTAGCAGAAGGTTCACTGCTCTATATCAATAGCTGGGAAATAATTCAGTGTACTCAGAGAACTGTAGTGATTTATTTTATATGATCTGACAAGGTTTTATTTACTAAAAAAAAGGTTTACATTAATTTAAAATATTAATTTATTTGTTAGAATTTATTTGAAATATTTTAATTGAAATGTTTATTTGTTAGCAATTTCCAAAAGTTCGTTCTTTCAGGTGTTTTTGATAAGTTGTAGACAACTAGTAGATAGTTTGGGAATGGGATTTACCAGTGTCTTTAATTGTTGTTTTCCAGGCTTTGGAGGGCAGCAGAGAGCTGGAAAATATCCTGGGTGTCTCAGACTCCTCTCGTGCCCTGAGTGCTGAAGTGCAGAAAACCCAAACACTGCGTAAGGGCGGTTTCCAATCTGTTTATCCCCTTTCTAACCACTGAACAAGGGTCGCTCCAGATGGTTCCCGGTGTTATAATGGAGTGTCACAGCCCAGGATTCTGTTTTGGTCAAGAAAAATGCTTTAAATCTCCTCGTGCATCCAACAGGGACATAAAAGACAGGCAGCCCCGTGTCCTGCTTTTCCAACTGAATGGGGAGGGAAAACTTGGAAAAGCAACACCTTTTCTCATGTAAATAGTTAGATACTTAGTGGGTACTTAGCTGGGAATTAGGATAAACGTTTGCACTTGGATTGCTTTGCTTGTGTTCTCTTCTTCCGAGGAAATTGGTTTGTTTGTTTGCCTGGCAGGAGGGATTAGCCTGATTGTAGATTTCCAGGCTTTAAAAATCGCTATTCATGTGTCTTTAAATGATGGACATTCCAAATGCTTATTGTGTTGGGATAAGGGCACTTCCCAGATGGCACATCTGTAATACTTTGCCAAAGGAACCCCAAAAGCTGAAGTTTTTTCGCTTATATGTGTCCATTTTTAGGAAACTCTTTATCCTTCCTCCAAGTCAGAGGTTCTGAAGTTCATTCCTCCTGCTCTTCCCAACCAGAAGGGGAGGATGTGATGGGGAAATAGTCTAATGAAAAAAAAAAAACAGTGTGGATATTTACAGGAGAAGACCAGAGATATTGGCTTCCAGGGATAAGAAATCAAGGTCACCTTTTCCAGGTCATTTACATTGTTCTTGGAGACTTTTCATGCCAGCCTCCAGCTGAGCAGGGAATATGAGCAATACCTGGATACAGCCAGTCCCTGTGTCCACTCTCCAGACAAACATGCAAAGGTGATAAAATAGTTTCTTAACGTGCACCAGAAATGCCAACAGACATCATTCTATAACCTGCCTCGTTGCTCTGTTTTCTGCCAAGTGTAAAAACACTGGAACCAGCTATAGGGAAGCAAAACCTGGAACTGCTCTGTTTGCAGTTGGAAGCAGGTGGACAGTAAAGCCGACAGGTGCTAGTGAATTCTTCTTCCCAGAGCATTGGAATTTATGCACGCAATTCCAGCAGCTGCTGTTGTTTAAATTACCATTTCTTTCCTGAGGTTTAAATTACCATTTCTTTCCTGAATACACCTCAGGAAAGAAATACACATCCTTTTGCATGTGTATACACTGCACTGTTCCCTCTGTAATGGCAGAGCCTTTCTTATACAGAAGGAAAATTCCTGGAAACAGTCTGTGTTCCCTTCCCTGCTCTGGATAGGACAGTCCAGCAGCCCAGAGGAGAGCTCAGAACTACTGCTGATAGTCTCTGTCTCTTCCACTCTTTCTGTCAGCTCCTTGGGAAGGAATCCTCTTTTCCCCAGCTCTCAATTAGGAACAAAGCACAGGAAACAATGGCAACAAAATGAGGCTGAAAGCACCACTTGTCAAAATTATCTGAATTTTGAAAACTTTTTGTTAATTTTTTAAAGCACAATTACATAGGTAAGGGCTTTTTTCCTTGAAATGCATTGAAAGTGAAGAAGGCAGGAGAGGGATCATTTCCTTTGAAATCTCTGATTTGGGATTTATTTCTTCACTAGTGAGTCAAGCAGAAGAGCTGCAGCTGTTGAAAGCAAACCACAGAAAACTCCCTGCCCCAGGTGAGAAACTGTGTAACTCCCATGTAACTCGTGTTTTGATTCCTTTTGGTTGATTCCTTCTTAGTTCTTTCCACTTGCAATAAGTTGGGTAACATGGAGTTATAAAAAATTATGAGAATCGAATGTGTTTCCTCTGAAAACTTCCACTACACAAATTTAGTATTTTCTGCTCTTTTCATTGTATTGGGTGTTTCTCCATGAAGTTGGTGGCATTTAATACCAGGTGGCCACTTTGGAGCCTTGGCAGGAAGGAGGGGACACACACAGGATTGGGGTTTTCTTTCACACACGGTAAAATCAACAACTTCCCCACTGATATTCTGATATTTCTGTTCTCTTCACACATTCTGTCTGAAAATACAGCAAAACCAGAATTAAAAGCAGTGGTGGCATCTCTGCTGCTTCTTTTGTTTGGATCTGCTCAGGCCTAAATTCCCTCTGCTGTGGGGAATTCTCTTAAAGGAAAGAAAACTGCTTAAACTTAGGTTTCCTGGGCTCCAGCAGATTATCTCCAAATGTAAAGGAGTGACAACCCTTTGGAAGGAATTTGGCTCATTTGTGCAGTCTGCTCTTTCTGATTTACAGCTCCCTGTGTCCTCCTGTTCCAATGATCCCAGTGATGGGAATGCCATGGGCCAGTGCAGATTTAAACACTCACTGCCTCCTTTGTGCCCTGCTCTTTAATACACATTTTTAGTTCCATCTTTGCTCTAAAAACCAGCCTCTAACGCCAAACACATACCCAGTCTTGTTAGAGGAGAAATACTTTATGAAAGTGGGGTGGAAAATAGAATTCTGACTTTAAGTTGACCAATTTTGATGTAGTTTCACTGTCAGTTTTGTTTTAACAAAGAATAAATTCAATTTTGCAATCTTGCAAATGCAGTTGTAGGAGAGGCAGAGAAGTGTGTGATCAAAGGAAAGCATTTGGATATGTTTTCCTTTGCCTTTTAGTTTTGGATGTGGTTTTTTCAGAATTATTTTTAATTAGTTATGGCAAGGCTGAGAACTTATGACTGTTCAGTGGGTTGGTACCCAGGGAATGTCACATTATCATCACATGGTGAGGCATGAAATTTATTTACTTTACATAAACAACCTCCTCTTAAAACAACTCCATCCAGAACATTCCTGGCTCAATGGGCAGCCTTGTGTGGAGCTCAGTTTATCATTTTGGGTGACCAGCAGGAAAAAAGGGCAGCATTGTCTGGCCATGACTGGAATTTACAGTAAACAAAATGTTTTGGAATAGAAAGTAAGCAAATGGTAAAACAACTGCCAAGAGATGAAATGGAGTTGGTGTGTCCCAGTCCCAACCACACCCTGTGTATGCTGGGAATGGCTGTGTAGGTTGGGCTGTGCATATTTTAAAGGAAAGTTTAATAAACTGGGAGATTCCAAGAGTGAAGATAAGATTCCAAACAGGAAAGCTCTTTGGTTGGTTGTTACAAACTACACTAATACTTTGCTTCCCAAAACCAGTGACATAAATCATATCCGTGACTCCATCTGCTGTCCACGTGGGAAACAAGGGAGTGTTAGAGCAGAGCAGATCTTGCAGTGTTGGGGAAAACTGTTTTCAGGCCACAATGAAATCCAAAATACTTTCTTTCCATGGTGTTGTTCATCCTGCCCAGCTCAGGGGGAAATACAGTCACCCCCCGAGTTTAGTTCTAAACATTCCCAACTTCCATCTTGGTTTTAGTACAAGGGACTGACTTTTGCACTCTTGGATCAGTAGTGGTGGCTTTCCAAGAGACTGGGTCAGGATCAACTGGATGGGTTTTCGTTTAATGCCACTTGGAGTCACTAATGAAAGCAAAGCTGGAGAGATCAGGGATGAAGTAAAGCTGAGTTCCCGTTCACCAATCCAGTTTTTTGAAGACTGGATAAATGGCAAAACATAAATTCCATAGCAGAACTGCAATATACAGAAGCCTCCTTAATAAGCAGAGTTCCTTCTCCAGCCAGATAAAAAGGTAAAAATACAATATTCCACTATTTGTCCCAATTCATGTCAGTTTGAGTTTGGGTATCCTAGGACTAAACCCCTTGGGTCTGCTCTGCTGGTGGGTTGAAGGCAGTGAGGGTAAGTCACATTTACAATTTATTTTTTACATCATTCTCACATAAAGTAAAACAAATTTGTTGCTCTTCAGACATACTTGGGGGTCTGTCCCACCTATCCTTCCTCCTCCTCCTCCTCCTCCTTTGGGATCTCCTGGGGAAAAGGGGAATACATCAGACTGCAGAGGTGAATTTTTCTGACTGTGAAACATTAACTTAAAAAACATGGTTATTTTTCTCAGCCCAACTTTGGACTCAATTGCAGGGAAGAAATGTCATTATCCCTTTGCTGGGAAAAGTAAGTCTTGGGAACTTAAGTGAACTGAGTAGATTCACAACTAAATTGATTCAGAAACTTGAGCTGCTTTCCAGTGTTCAAATTGTGATTCAGATGCACAACAGCTCTAAAAGGAACAAAAATGATGCTGAAGGACTTGTTTTCAAACAGATTATTAGATGGAGACTTAGAGCTGTGTTTGCAAACATTGTTCCTCAGTGCTTAGGCCAGGTTTGGTGTTTTGCCTCTCATCCCAAATGTCTGCCCTGAGTTCACGTCCCTGATGGTGCCATCGGTTCTCCTGACTTGTAATCCAGCCAGGAGATGAGTTGTCCTCTTGGCCTGGTCAGAAAGGTTCTGAAACTAAAATAGGAATTGAATTAAAAAGCAATATTTTCTGAAAAAACACACTCTAAAGCTTGATGTTCAGCTGAGTTCAGCGAGCCCAGCCCCAGCCAGGCTGTGTAGGCAGAGATTAGGGAGAGGCTCAGCACACATTCCAACTGGGAGATGATTCCTTGGAGCTGAAACCCTGTGAGTGTTGTGTCCTGTGTCTCTGGGACTCACCTCCAAGAAATCAGAGCTTTGTAGTGCTGGAGGGACGTGGCCTCATTCAGCTGCTCTTCCCTGGGGAAGGATATCCGAGTTTGTGCTCCTGAGGCTTTTCCACCATCAACACAGGGAGAAGTTCTCTCGGTTCCTCACAAGTGTGGGACTGCCCCCAGAGGAGTGGGCTGCTTTGTATCCTGGGGATGAGAAACTGGTGTTGCTCAGGCTGAATTTGGCTGCACCCGTGCCTTGGTCTGTGCAGGTGGGTCTGGTTTAGTCTGGGACCAAGCAAGTCCCTCCCAGTCTAGAAAGGTAACAAAACCCACTCACCCAGTACCCAAAATCTGCAGTGGCAGCGCTTTTCCTAAGACAAGGAGGAGTCTTGTCCTGACAGAGGAGCTGGGGTGAGGTTTCCACTGCTCCTTCCCAGCAGGATTGGGAGCTGTTGGGTGCCCCCACTCCATAACAGTCCATATTTTAGAGTTCAGCCCGAGGTTTGAGGAGTCTCTCTGGGTGTGAGGAGGAGCTTTGGGCTGGAAGGAAGGAGCGGGTTCCGAAGCTGCAGTGATGGAACACCCTGTACTATGCAGATAAAATATTAAGCCATTACCTGCTGTGGCAGATCCAGAAATGCACGTGAGACATATGAGTGTGGGCACATCCAGAACTGTCGCCCTGCATTTCAGATTTGGGTGGCAGCCCCATTTATTCAGAGATTTCCACTCATATTTACTCTCTATTTTCCTATTTGCCTTCTTAGAGACACAACAGCTATTAATTTTTAATTCTAGTGGATCTAGTTGAGAATATTAAGCTTAATGAAAAATTCAGAAGAATTGTAGTTCTTCCAACAGCTACATGTAGCAACTCCTACACGACAATAAATACTGCTTTGTCCCATGAATATAATTATTTTAAATAAAAAAGAAAAGAAACATTAGTTTGGACTCACTTAGTAGCAATTATATGTTTAAGAGGTGTAAATAACTTGCCATCCAGACATTACAAATATCCAGGTGCTCTGTATGTGCTGATGACAACAAAATTGAAAAGAAAGACTGTAATAATTCTGACTGGTTTTCTCTGCAGAAGATATTGATTATTTGTGTGTGGTGAGAGATTTGGAAAATTCAATTAAAGGAGTTGTGCAAAGGTTTCATAAATTTCCCGGGTACAGCGTGTACACAGACATTGCTGCCTATTAAATCAATGCAGCACTTCACAATATATTTTCTTTGAAACATAAAAATAAATAACATTTAAACAGTTCTGCTTACTACAGAAACAAATTTTATTTTCTGTGAAGCATTTAGTCATGTGCTATCACTGACTCATACACATTTGCCAGCTGTAACAAATTTTATAGACGTTTTCTCCAGAGACAGAGCTCATATACTATGAATTTTTAAATGAGCAAATGGTGAAGAAGGGATGTCAGCAATATAAAAATTGATCAGTTAAAAGATAAAAGCATAAGTAAAGAGATTTGTATGGTAGTCTTAATAGGTTTTATTAAATAAAAATACTATAAAAAGACAGTAATGAATAGACTGAAGGTTTTAACTGTGGTTGAGGTGGAGAAAAATTATTCTGGCACATTTAGTAGAAGATTGGTTTTATATCACCCGACAGGTGAACATTTTTTTTCTCTCTGCTTTTTAGATCTGTAAATGTTTTAGAGCAGTCAAACTTGGGGAAGAGTGGCAGGGGAACTAGGAGGGGGAAGGAAACTTGGGAAGATCCAGCCCTTTTAATGCTCTTGTGGGCCAGGAGGTGCCGTGTCCAAGGGCAGTGAGGGCTCTGCCAACCCTCCAGGAGCAGGGGTGGGGTGATTCCAGCTCCTGCCTTACCCTGGGAACCCTAAAATTGGAGCTGAGGAGAGGAACAAGCTGGGCCTGCACCAGCCACCTCTTCTGCTGCAGCCCAGGTGCCTTCTGGCCCCTTCCACACGTCCCTTTCCCAGCTGCTCTGCTCACATCCATCCTCATCCAGGAGTTTTGTGAGTGTTCTCTTTGGTTTTATGTAGTTTGACTTATTTAGAAGCTCTGCATAGAAAGATATCAAGAGAGAGGAGGGGTTGGGGGGGTTGTCTGTGTTGTTGGGGTTTTTAAGAACAGCTCACTCTGAGGTGAGGCAGAGTTAGATGGGATTTTGGGAAGGAATTCTTCCCTGTGAGAGTGGGGAGGCCCTGGCACAGGTTGCCCAGAGAAGCTGTGGCTGCCCCATCCCTGGAAGTGTTCCAGGCCAGGTTGGATGGGGCTTGGAGCAACCTGGTCTAGTGGAAGGTGTCCCTGTCCATGGCAGGGGGTGGAACTGGATGGCCTTTGAGGTCCCTTCCAACCCAACCCATTCTGGGATTCTGTGTTTGAAAAAAAGCTGAGTTCATGATGTTTTATGTGAATCTGGGCAGCTTGTATTTTTTAGGACAGCTCAGTGTGGTGGCTGTGGCATGTTTGGGTTCTCCACGTGCTGCACAGTCCAAATGCTGCAATCCATGGTTGAAGGGAAATCAGTTCCATAAAGACTGAGTTAGGAATTGCATTTAGTACAAGTAAACCAGCTCATAATTCAATCTGTTATTTTTTTCTGTTCCTTGTCATACAAGACTGGATAGTTTCCTGCTGGAAGCAATTGTGGTGTGTTTTTGTTGATAATTTGTGTGAACAAGTGGTGGTTATCAGGAATAATGCTGGAAGTGGGACCTGACGCCGAGTTGGATTGGATGCCTTTTTATGGAGTGTGAGACCTGGCTTAGGACAGAGCCTGGGCTTGGTCTGGGTCAGCTGCTGGTGACGTTGCCAGCACCTCAAATCTGATCCATGGGCAGGTCTTGGTGTTACATCAGGTCCTGGAACTGTGTGGGGAGAACTGAGGAGAACCTTCCCCAGCACCCCGTGGCTGGGGGGGTTTGGTGCCCCTCCCCAGCTGGGTTTCTGTTCACTGTAAGCTGCTCTGAACACCTGTCTGTTCTTCTTGGTGTGTTTATTACAGTTCTGAATTCTCTCCTCACCCTCGGTGGTGGTGGTGGAATCAAAGCTCCTCGTGACACTCGGGGTCCTGGGGGCAGAGCTGCTCATCTGCTGCAGGACCATTTGGCAGCCTTGGCACTCAGATGCACCTGCTTCCAGACCCTTTCCACGCATGTTCTCATTCCCTGAGTTCCTTTCTGCCCTTGCACTCTTCTCCTCTCCTTCTCCCAGCCACCTGCTCTGCCCTCATCCTGCCCTGCCCTCCTTGGCTGGGGGGCTCAGGTGCAGGGGCCTCCAGGGATGGTTGTTCCTCTCATGGAGTCCTTGGTTGGGTTCTGCTGAATATGGTCTTGATACATTTTTATTTATTCTTTTATTATTAATAGCAAAAAAGAAGCACCAGCTTCTAACACTTGTAGCACTGTTCTGCTTTGGTAATGTAACACTTGCACATCCACTCACAAGGGCAAGCTCTGAAATTACTGCTGAGACCCCATAACTGAGACTCCAAGGAAAAGGGCTCCTGGGTTTTAACCACTGCAGCAACTTATTTAACTTGTACTGGGGAGGGATTGTCACACATTCTGCCATAACACCCCTGTTTATCACACATCATGTTTGTATTTGTTTCTCCTCCTCAGGGTACATCCAGACTGTTGGGAGCACCGAGTTCCTGAACTCACTCCTGGAACAAAGCAAGGAGCCCCTGGGCCTGCTCCCTGCCCTCCCCAGTACCCAGGCACTGGCCCAGAGACCAGGAATGTGACCAGGATACAGGTACTTGTTGTAAAGCATTTCCAGAGGGCTCTGGGATGTCCTGCAGGCACAGCTCAAGAGCCCAAGGGGATCAGTTTGTTCCTCCTTTGGCTCCTTGTCCTCGTGAGGGAGGAAAAGCCCAGGTAGTGACAGACCTTGTCTGTCATCGTGTGTTACCTGAGCAGGAGAAAACTGGTTTCATGAAGTCTAAAGATGAGAATACCCACAGATGATCTCAATTCCTGAACAGTGTGAGAACATTTCTCTTTGGGAAGCTGAAGTCTAATTCCCATAACTGAGGAGCACGGAAGCGCTGTATGGCCATAGGGCAGGGCTGAGCTCACACACCTGCATCTGGCTCCTCAATGAAGGTTCCATTTTACTTTGTAATCAGCCGTAAGTAACTGAGTAGCAAAAAGCCTTCTAAACCCTGCTTGACCACAATCTACCATTACACTACTGCTTCCTGGCTGCTTATGCCAGACTTTTCTACTCCTTCCGAGCCAGTTCCCACTCCCAAGGCAGAGTCCTTGAGGGATGGCATCCCCAGCCCAGGAGAGCAGAGCCAGCATCCTCCTTTTTTCCAGTCAGCATAATTCCTGAGTCCTGCAGATGCAGAGTGGCCTTTCCATGGTACAGTAACACATTAAGTCTTACACTGGGTTATCAGCTTGTATTAAAGTCATGCTGGCAACTCCAAGGTTTCAGTTCACAGCTGGCTCAAAGTACTCAGGTCTACTGTGAGTTTATGTCCATGGACAGCAGTGTAGTCAGTGAGTATTTGCATAAGGCTTTGCACCTCGTGCCCAAAAAGTGACAATTTCCTGGTAGTTTTTATCCCTTCCATGAGTGACCAGCACTGTAAGGTCGTTTCTTATTGCTTAAAAAAAACACAGTTGTGGTGGCTAAATGATCTTTTAGCAATTATTCCTCAACTTTTTCTACAGAATGTCCTTAAACCATCCTAAAATGTTCCTGCAGTCCAGGGCAGACCAGCTGCTGCTCTGCATTGCATGGGGTTGTGTGTGTGTTTCTCACACAGTGAGGTTTGTCCTGGACATCAGACAGCCCTGAGCCTCCAAACACATCCCCTGAGTGATGATGCTGTTGTCTAATTGCTATTTATTTTAGCCATTCCTCATCTCCCCACAGGCATTATGTGAAAAATGCATTCCACATCACCCCAAACTTCTACATCTGCTGGACTGGACTTAAAAGGAGCGAAGAACTGAGTGTAAACCAATCTCCCCCAGTCCCGGTGCGGGAGCGTCGCTGGCCAGGCAGGTGCAGTCACATAACATTCCTGGCGTCCATTTAAACTGAACAATGTGCACAACCACATCATCCCAATGGAAATAATCCACCATGCTGGGAGCTGGGGCTGCTGCTGCCGCCTGGGAAATAAAACTGTAGGTTCTGCAGGTTCTTTTCTAACACGGGGTGGGCTCTAAAGCCAGAGGAAGCTTTGCAGTGCAAGGAATTGTTCCGTGTTTCAGCTGTTGAGAAACACTTTCCCTGTTGGTGCTGCCATACTTGGGGACGTTTGTCATCCACAACCAGGTTTCCTCTAAACTCAACCCAAGCCAAGGCCTCAGCTTCAAACCCAGCATTAACACACATGCTCTGGGAACATTTGCTTTTTAGGTCAACATTTTAGTTTAGTTTTGGTATTTAATGATATAAGAGCACAGTTGCTTTATATAAACCAGCTGCTTCTCTTTTTTCCACCCCTCCAGCCTAGGGAATCCCCAATATCCCAAATCCTTTCATTAGGTTGGAAGAGTGCAGTACAATGATCTATACTTTCTTAAGTTCAACATAAACACCCACTTGAATGTCCTTTTTACTCCTGCAAAGTCCAGCTCCTCAAATAAACTGATTTTTATGACTAAAACTCTGAGCACTAAAATGATGAACATGTTCCACACGCTCAAGCTTTGGGAGTTTTTAGTTAATAAAAATGGTTTTGCACCTCACTACCTGTGCAGTCCAACTGGGAAAAACATTAGTAAGTGGTGGAAGGGAACTGGGACAGTTTTTCTCCCTTCCACACCAGTCTCTGTCAGGCTCTCAGAGCTGTGGGTTGTTCTGTGTGTAAGGGGCACCAGCCCGTTGCTCTGTAGCAGGAGGGGAGGATACTGAACCAGCGAGAGTTTATGTAACCTGACTGTAACCTCTGGAGCTGGAAATTAAATAATTATTGATCTGAGAAGAGCCTGGAACTGACTGTGCTGGTCTAAATCAAGCTGTTATGGGCAGTCTTGGGAGAACATAAAACTTGTACAGGAAATACCAGAGAAGGTGGTGATGGGCAATGAGTTACAGCATAACTTACACCATGGCAATTACTAAATCTGGTATTTAGTCATTTTTTAGGGAAATAAAGCTGTACATGAAGACTGTGCTGCACATGCCCCGCTCACATGCCTCAGCTATTTAGGCAGTTACTGTGGCTCTGACCTCCTGCTGTACCAGCTCTTGCCTCTGAAACAGCTGGGGCTGTTAAGAACCATTTCCAGTTCCACACAAGGTGGATCGGGTGACTCTCACTTTATCACCCCCCGAGGCCACCTCAAGGACAAAGAAAAGGGATACACTCAAAACTAATGTTTGGCTATGGGGGGAAGGACAGGCCTGGGCTCCTGCTGGACACACAGACCAGGCTCATTAAACCCTGAACTGCTTCTGCTTCCCTCCACCTTCATTTTCCTTGTCACCTTAGAGACCTCCAAGGCTGACAAACTTCAGGCAGCCTTTCCCCCAGCCCTGCTGGGGGGGAGCATGGTGGGTTTGGGATTTCACAGCCTCTGGAGACAAAGATTCCTATTTTTGTGCCCTGATACGCATCAATGCCACCCGGCCTACACTTCCAAAAAGAAAGGCTGTGCTGTGAGTTGCAGTCACCCCCACAGAAAATTCTGAATACTTGTGAAAATATTGAAGTTTGTTGGTTTGTAAGAATTTGTTGAACTGTGCTCACCCCCCATATCATCAGAGTTACTACTCCAGAGCACCGTTTCCACTCTGTTGGAGCTGCCAGGAGCACAGTGTTGGCTCTGGGTACTTTTTCCACAACAAATAAGGCTGGAAAAACTGCATAAATACACTCAGCTCGGAGCCACTCCATTGACAGGGCTCATAACTGACACAGTTGGAAGTTCCCAGAACAGCTGATTCACACACTGACACTAATGGCAGTGACAGGCTGGAATGTGACAGCACAGCCAGGGCAGGGGGAAGCCTCTCAACAAGGATGGGGGGGCTTATTTTTAATATATATACATGCACAGATACAGAAGAAAAACATAGACTGATTTCTAATTAAACCATACAACCCTAAATTGCTTTATGATTTATTTTCTTCCTCCATGCTTTGTTATGTTTATAATTACTCAATCAATATGCATTCTCTGAATTATTGGCAGTGGAGGCCGTGCTGCACCCAGGGAGAAATTGCAGAGTTGAGTTCAGTTTACGTCTGCAAATTGCTGTGCAAGGAGGGGGGTTGTTGTGGGTTTGGGGTTTTTTTTTCCCCCCTCATACCTGGTTTCCAACTGCACTGCAGCACCTCAGCTTTTACTGCAGGAGAAGCAAGAGGGTTTGGCTTTTCAGTCCTGTTGAAGAGAGAGCAGTTGAGTCCTAAGACTGCAGAGGTGTTAAAACCACTTAAAGCAGAGCTGCTGACCAACAGTGAAGGAAGAAATGTCACAGTGGAGGAAAGTTTGCGTCACAAAACAATTCAGCAACACCAATTCAGAGCTGCCAGTCCAGTGTTTTGACTTTACCTGCATGACTTCCTTATGCTTTTTATGCTGGGAAAGGAACAAACTCAATGCTACTTTTGCTAATACAGCAAATACAGGGTATTTTAGCATTAATTCAAAATTTGGTCCTTTATTAGGCATTTTAGGTTTACAAATGGTAACAAAAGTATGACACCTCTGAAGAAAACTCACCAAATCATATTTCCAATGCTCTTCAACAGACTTCTCCTTTGAAACAGTCTTTGATTGTTTTGTGTTTGAATAGGCCAAACGTGTTTCCTGACTTTCCCTGGGTTCCAGTAGTCGTGTCCATCCCAAACAGGTTCCCCTGCAGCGCTGACAGCACTCACCAAACACACTCTGTCCTGCACAGTTCAGTCCTGGAGCTCCACAGGTAGATTAACTGATTTTCTTCTGGCTTTTGCTATTCTTGGAGTCCCAGAGTATCACAACATTAAAATACACCAGAAATAATAAGAAGTGTAAGCAGGAAACAATGGACACGGATATGGGGAATAAATCCGGGAGGCTCTGGGGAGGAGGCACTGCGGCACTCAGGAGAGACAGCACACCCATCAGGGACAGGGAAAGGAGGAACTGGAAGATAAGGAATGATGGATTAGGTGTTGGTGATGTAACACCTCAAACAGGTGAGCTGTTACTGCATTGTTTAGGTGCTCTGTTACAGCCCCCCCTCCACTGACACTTCTGTGCTGCAACTCAAAGTTACAGCAATTAAATCGCTTACCAGAATCCTGACAATCCTGGGAAAGGACTTAAACCAAGACACATAACCCTTCAGGGAAAGGGAGAATGCTTTGAGCTGCAGGTCCTCTGCTGAGGTCTTGTCCAGGATGGAGAAGGAGGCCAGGCAGGTGGCCAGGAATGCCGGTGTGGTCACGGCATAGGGCAGGAGCAGCCCGTCCCTCAGCAGGAGAGGCAACATGCTGGGAGCAGGATCATCCCAGCGTGAGGGCACGGATCCAGAGGTGTTCCAAAGAATGAGAAGAGGAAAACCAGTAAATACATTTACCCTTACAGGACTTGGGGAAGAACATGGTGTTCAGAGAATCATAGAATGGTTTAGGTTGGGAGGGACCTTAAAGCTCATCTTGTTCCACCCGCCTGCCACGGGCAGGGACACCTTCCACTATCCCAAGCTGCTTCAACCTGGCCTTGGACACTTCTCTGGGCAACCCATGCCAGGGCCTAACCACCCTCATAGGGAAGAATTTCTCCCCAGTATCCCATCTAACCCAAGTGGGAAGCCATTCCCCCTTGTCCTGTCCCTCCATCCCTTGTCCAAACTCCCTCTCCAACCATGTTAATAGTTTCCAACTCACCTGAAAGTTGATACGAGTAAAAACCACGTGGCCATAAAGGGGATTTCATTTATGATTAAGCAAACTGGGCTAGAACGAAAAGAGGAAAAACAGGGATCAGATCTTCCCTTGTCAAACACCCCTTCCAGGTCCATGTGGGACATGCACATGGAACAGCAGCACCGGTGACTGTCCCCTCAGCCAGAGTGACACAGGACAGACCAGCCAGGCTGTACTTCAAACCTTCATTTCCAGGTTATTCAGAAAAGCAGATGTGCAGAGTGTTTAAAATTCAACATATTTGTAGGTTAAAGAGCAGCATGCAATAAGAGCTCAAGGAAAAGATCAAAATATATCCCCAGGAATATAATTTACTTACACTGCCACCAGAAGAATGGATTTTTCGTGGACTTGAAAGGAGAACAGGAAAAATGACAGGGCACAACTAACCTTAGGAAAGGAGATCAGAGCTGGATTAGTGTGTGTGACTGCAATGCAAAGCTCTGCTTTAGTGTCTCTGGCACAGACTCCACATGGAGGCAGGAGCTCAATGATCTGAGTTTTCTAATTAACTGCTTTATTTCCTCCAGTGCCATTTACAGGCACCAGAGCAGCTCCTGGAACCACCCACACGTGGGTGAAAACACTTGGTTTGAAAGTTGACCAGGATTAGTCAGAAAGCACTTCCTGCAGAGCCCTCACTCCTGCTCAGCTTCACCAAGAACATCTCCACCAAGGAAACACAATGTTCACCCACACAGGCACTGGAAAACCTCAGTCATGGTAAGAATTACCCACCCTTTTGACATAAAATTTTGCTCCTCATCATGAACAGTTAATACACCGGAGGTAAATAAACTGGTTTGGATTTGTTTTTGCTCCCACCAAATAAAAAACACACTGCAAAACATCAACTAAATCTTAGAAAGTGTGACTTCTAGGCAGTGTTGTGATATACTCTCAAACATCGCTCACATAAATCAAAAACAGAAATTATCTTGTAACTCTCAAAACTTTAGCACCAGCTCCATATAATTTTTGATTTTTGCATAAGTCATGGCAATGTGCTTCAATTCAATGGTATGACTAAGGAAAGGCAAACATTTGGGATAATAGGATCATTTTATTTTCAAACCACTAATGAGCTCACAGTGTCCATTTGGGAACTTTTTAATTGAATTTTGCAGCTGATGCAATATGAAAAACTAACACTTTGGTAGCTAAACAAAAAGAGGAGAAATCCCAACTCTGTATGAGGCTTTAATGTGTATGGAATCTTCTGAAGGCTCTTCGGAGGAAGATGATAAAATACAACATTAAACAAAGAAAATTGAGGCTAAAGTAAAAAGTCTGGGTTTAAAAGACAGGTCAGACCCCCTGGACACATGAAAGTAAAGCCCTTTTTAAGCAATTCCTTCAGCATTTCATGGCACACACCCCTCTGTGCTCTGCAGCAACTGCTGTTGGAGTGCTGGTCACACCCCAGTGCTGAGGGGTGGATGAAAACAAGGAGCAATTACAAACAAACACTTACCAAAGCAAATTTAAACCCTCTGAGGGAAGGCTGGACAGTGAGTTTGATACAGGCAGGAAGCAGGCTCAGGAATGTCACAGCAAAACTGGAGAGTTTTGTAAGAAAAACAGTTTAAATACATGAGCAACTACATCCATTAGTACTTCACTCTGCAGGCCTAGACCTGAATTCTTCACTTAGTTGAGAAACAGACCTGTGAGCTCTGACTTCTAAGAGCACTAAAAGGGGTAATTCTTTGAATTTGCAAATTTTAACTGTTTTAACCAGGCAGCTTAAATCAGTATATGGACAAGCAGGGAATTTTTCAGTTCCTAACAGCACTTGGGGAAACCCTCATCACTTGGGAGAAAAGTACAGCATAGGAAAGAAAATGTATTTTCAATATTTTAAACACAACTTCTCATAGTTGAGAAAATTCACTCCTTTTGCAAAAAATAACGCAGATAAAAACTACCTAAAGCACTTAAGTTATGTCTTACCTGAGTTTGAGCTGAGTTTGAGGTGATACTACATTCTTTATCTTTATAAGGACACTTAGACTGCACCAAATATTGGCTACTTTATCCTGGAAGAAAATAAAAAGGTAATTAGTGATAATTATATTCATTTAAACTTATGTTTGTGACAACAGTGGGGCTTGGGAGGTGGGGATTGTTGGGTTTCTACTATGAGAGTGCAAAAAACACTTGCAGATGTACATCATATTCTTTCTTAGATGTACTTGAGCCTATTCTGAATGGAAGTTTCAAGAGACTCAATTAAAACATGCTCTAAAACAACTGAGAAATTGTTCTCCAGCACACGGGACAACTACTTAACTCATGAGGCCACATATTCTGTGAGAATATGGCTCTGACACCGTGTCCCTGAGCAAACAAACACTGGCACATGAGAGTCCCTTTCCAGGAGGACGCCGTGCTGGCCCATCTCATTCATGCCTGGCTGTGGCTGTGCTCAGTGCCCGCCAGCACTGACAGAGTTAACCCCTAATAAATCAAGGAGTCTAAAGACATTAGCAGTTGTGCTAGGATCACTTTCCAAATTAAATCTGTAAGCACAGCTCGTGAAACTCATCCCCAAGCAGCTGCTGGAGGCACAGCTGTGTGGACAGAACACCACGGAGGCACCAGCACCAACAACTGAGCCACCTCCCTCACGTGCTCGCCAGCAACACGGGATATGCCCAGGATTCCGAGGGGACACGGGTTTGGCAGCACCAGCAAACACCACTTCACAGCCAGCACCATTCTACAGCCTCAGCAAGTGTTACTGGGCTGCAAAGGGACACAAGTCAAAGAACCTGTCACACACGCCCCGGGCTGAGTTACTGGGCAGTGCTTACGTGGACAATTTCTCATTTTATCCGCATTAGCATCCAGCAAGTCACTGCCCTGAGCAGCCCAGGAAATATCTGGGCTAATATTAGACTAAAATCCTTCAGCTCTTTCGGACTCATTGGTTATTGTCATTTACAGGTTGTATTTTTAAACTTGGTACTGAATAAAAAGTGTGGTGACCCAAACTATTTCTTCATAAATTCCAAATACTCTCCAAGAAAAAGGGTCATTTTTTTGGGGGGAGGGGGGTGTCTGTGTGAGGAGGGGTCTTTTTTGGAGAGGTTGTTTGGTGTTTGTTTGTTGGGATTTTTAAATAAACTAGCAGAGAGCACATGAAGAACACTTCTGTACTGCTGCCTTTGGTACATCAACATTAACTTCTGAAGAAAAACATGCCAGCTGTGATATTATCTACATCTGAGAAAGACTGGAAGAATAATAAACATTAATTAAACTACATAAGTATTTGCTTTAATCCCTGTGACAACACAACCTGAAATTCAAAGCTTCATTTTATTGGTTAAGCTTGAAGGTGAGAATCTGCTGTATAAGAGTGTAATACTGACTCGTGCCCTAATTAAGCAAAAGAGCAGCAACAACTCCCTGTGAGTTGGGAAATGGGAACCCTTTCTTTCATCCCAAAACTCCTGTGGCATTGCCACTAGATAAGGGAGGAATTGCTTTACTGGATTAAGGCTGCAGTAGTACTCAGCACTTGCCAGCACGCAACTGTCCATAGCCTTAGGAAAAGCAGAACTGGCCTAAAACTTTTGGAAAACATTGTGGAAATTGGCACAAGGTGGGTCAAAAAGGAAGTTCTGGGCTGTACCCACAAAATTGTTTTAAATCCTTTTTTTTAAATAGTTAATCCCACTGAAAAGAGCTGAGAAGAACGAAAGACAGGCTGAAGCTGTTCACTTTCAAGGTTACATCTTCTGACACTGTCAATTACTATGGAATCTATTTCAATGGAAAAATGTATGGATTGAAGTATGGGTCTGATGATGGGATAAGTGTTGTCTACTGGTATAATATCCTGGAAGATGCCAGCTGAGCTGGGGTTAAACACTGGATTAAATAACTGGCAAGGACTGCCTGCTGAAGAAGCCTCTCGAATTACCCGTCCCGTGGTGTGTCTCCCCCATGAAATCCCTAAAGGTCACACTGAAGGTTTCTCAAGGGATCTAAGAATACAGGGCAGGGGCAGTGGGGTGGGGAGAAGAAAACATGCATGCCTCAAACAAGCCTCTGTCAATGGGAAAGAGTCTTCTGAGTACTTGCATGATTTGTTCCACGTCGGTGCCGAACGGGAGCCAGCAGGCAGCGAAGGACAGCACCACTGTCCCTGCCAGTTTGGTCAACAGCACCAACCTGGGCCCAAGAGAAGAAAAAAAGCTCTCACTTCAGGAAAAGCAACCCAGCAGAAATACCTGCCTTAGATCTCAGCAGCAAATACTCATTTTGCAGGAGAGGAAGACGTTACAAAAGTAATCTTCCCCTACAGCTGAATTGAGAAATGCCCACATGCAGATTAGGAGAATCCCACTCTCCATGCCAGGCTGCCCAGGCGTACTCCTGAGAAAGACAGAACAGTTTAAAGCCACTTACCCCTTTCCTTTCAGTCCCTTCTTGAAGCACTTCCCCAGTAAATAGCAAAAAAAGGGCAGGGAATGGTAGAGCTCCATTTGCTTGTAGTTTAAGGCCAAGCAAAAGGCCACCGAGCCCAGGAGGTCCCAGTCATGGGACAAACAAAGGACACCCCACAAGGCAAAGCCGAGGCTCACTGAGTTGTATATGGTTTTTTATGTCAAGGACAAGACACACATCTCAGTTCTGCAAGTCAGTAATTAATGCCCTGAGGGACAGGCATAAATAGTTTGGAAAATTAGTTTTTCCAAGTTAGTTTTAAAAACACATTACCAGTTGTGACTATTTCGTTCACAGAGAGAAATAATTTTACTTCCGTTTAAAATGTAATTTTTGTATTTCTAAGGCTTGATTCAGAGCTTGCACAGGCAAATATGAGGACAAATTATGTGTGTGTTAATTACATATATAAAGTACATTCAGTCAACCAAGCTTTTGGTGACAGTACTGTACAACATGCATCAGGGAAAACTTTCTTTCTGTATTTAGATAATTAAGGAAAACGCTTTCACAAGGTTCTCCTCCCAGCTTACAAAAGATATGTGCAGAATATTCAAATATATCAGGGTTTAAATTATATGTAATTTAGTTCAAGGACTTCTGAGGTTCTTGTGATTCTATTACACTCACAGTGCACCCTCATCCATGACCAGTTCCCTTAACTGCTAATACTGCACAAACAATGAATAATAGTTACTAAAAGCAATGTTGCTGCCTTATGACTTTGAAAACAGGTTCACAAGATCAGTAAATTTGGAAGAGACTAAGCTATGCTTACTATTAAATTGCAACAAAATATTAGCTTTGTCTTTTACTTGGTGTTCTTAAAAAAATGAGATAAACCAATAGGGCACAGAATCCCAGAATGGTTTGCTTTGGGGGGGACTTTGAAGCTCATCTTGTTTCACCCCTTGCCATGGGCAGGGACATCTTCCACTAGCCCAGGTTGCTCCAAGCCCCATCCAACCTGGCCTTGGACACTTCCAGGGATGGGGCAGCCACAGCTTCTCTGGGCAACCTGTGCCAGGGCCTCAGCACCCTCACAGGGAAGGATTTATCCCTGATATCTAATGTAACCCTGCCCTCTGGCAGTGGGAAGTCATTCCCCTTGTCCTGTCACTCCAGGCCTTTGTAAACAGTCCCTTGCATTTCTTGTATTGCCAGAAATGTCACAATACTTGGTTTCCCTCTGTCAGTGTAGGTATCTGTAGGACACATCCACATGGCCCATGTTGCTTTCAGCCCACTCCCACTTCCCACTCCCAGTCCTCAGGTGTATTTGACAGCTCATTGATTTCCCATCAGCAAACTCCCACCAAAAGGCCCTGATCTTGCAGCAGTTTAGATTAAGCAAATCTTTGCCTTCCTGGGAGGAGGGCACAGGGAGTGATGCTGTTCATGTAAGAGTGGCAGGGCTGGACCAGCCCACAGAGGCTCTGCAGGACATCTCTGCTTCCTCTGCATCCCCCCAACATGAGGTCAGCTGACAGCATTTGCTTGTTCATGTACAAACCCAGTACAAAACCAGAATTCTTATTAAAACAGATCCCCTGTGAAGGTGTCTGCACCAACAGGGACCAGTCAGCCCTGGATTCACTTCCCTGTGAAGCCAGGACAGAACAGCCCATTTTATAGAACTGAACATTTCCCACAGCTACTCCTGACACTCCTCAGCCACCCAAGCAGATCTGAGGTGATTCCCTCTCCAAACACAAATCACAGGAGCACAAGCCATCATTCTCTTCCCTGTCACAGCACCACTGGTGTTGTCTGCAATCAAGTGACTGACAGAAATACGAGCTGGAGGCACAGAAAGAATTATATTCATGTTTGGATTGATTTGTCCCAATATCAATAATTTTTATCTCAAATATGTCTCAGACTTACAGTTTCTTTGATATCTCTGCTTTGGGGTGGCAGAAGCCCCTCAGATGACTTTGTATGCAAGACCAGCCAAAAATAAAGTGCTAAAAACAGTGTTACTCCATAAACACAAATTCATCTCAGTGCAGAACAAGGATACTGGAAGTGTCCATGGTCAATAAGAATGAGGCCTGGATAAAGTAGGATACAGAGAGCACTGGAAACCTGGAAAGAAGGATCAAAAACGAGAGGGGACAAATGATTATTCCCAAATTAGACATCAGACAGAGGAACTTACACCTCTGCAGTACAAAAATATGTCCCTCCTTGGTGCACCCTATACGTAGGAATCTTATTCTCCACAAGTAATCATCTGTCAGTGACAATGTGAGGAATAAAAAAGGATAAAAATTTTCCATAAATGAGAAAATATTGAATATTGCCTGTCCTTTGCAAACAGCTCAAAGATCACCCACACCCATCTTAAACCTTAAACCACTCCAAAAACCAGGAGATTTATTATTCCAAAATGTATTGAATCTACTGTGAGGAGTGTTCAAGAAAAAGCAGTTCTCAGATGCCCCTGTGCCACACCATAATCTTGCTTTTACTGCTCAAGTAACAAATTCAGAAAGAAATATAATTCAGGAGTTCATGGCTACTAAACTTCAGAGCACCTTGTTATTGAAAGCATTAAAATAATTGCTGTAAGATAAAATAATGGCTTTTTTAATCTTTTTAACTGAAAAGCCTTTAATATGAGCTACACTGATTGTCAGCTTTACATGGGTTTTGGATGTTAATTAACTCAGTGTTACAGTCCTACCCTGTTGTAACAGTGTTTTCTTTGTTTAATTTACACATACACACACACACCAGGTACTTGCCTTCTTTTTAGCAGATGTTTCTTTCAAGGAAGAACAATATAAAATAACTGCAGGAATATAAACCAGCAAATCAGCAACAAACACTGCAAAATAAAGATTAACTTTACATTAGAATCCTCCTAGGAGAAGACAAGGACAACATACAGGCAAGTGAGCATTAAAATATCAGAAAGTTCTTCATCAGAATAAACTGGGCAGTTCCACTTCAAAGGACAAAAAGAAACAGGTCCACAGAATTTGATCTTGTTAATGTGTGTAAGGCTCATTTCTGATGTCCCAAAGCTGCTGCTTCCACGTGTTCAGCTGTCCTGGCTCCTGGCACAGCCTCAGTCACACAGGGAGCACACTCTAGTTCCTCACATGCCAAAACCAGGGAGGCATTTGGGAATGCCCCAAAGAAATCGGCTCTGACTGGATCCAGACAGGTTCTTTGATGGGACAGATACTCTGGGGGCACAACTAAGAAGCTCCAGATTGTAACAATCTCTGTGTGAATTAGTGATGTGGGTAAAGAGACTAAAACTAGTGATTTGGCTTTGATAACCTGCCTACAGCAAGTATTTGTAAGAGAGTTGACAAGAAAACAGAACCAGCAGGTTCCCCTGCCTGGGATTATGCCAAGCAGGTGAATTCTCCTTGAGCCTGAGAAAAACCTCAGATTATTTTTAAAAACCAGTTTCATAAAACGTGCAATGGTTCCAAAAGGGAAAGTGTACTTTGCCTCTTTTTAGCCAAGGTCTTTGGAAGAAAACGTTTCAATATCTCAGTTACCCAGTGATGAATTGTTTTGCCAGCTTAAGCCACAACTAAACAAATATACCCAAGGTGTTAGCAAAACAAATACACTGATGCTTCAAATAAAGCTGACATTGACCACTCTGAATTATTTTAATGCATTCTTCTAATGGCTACTGTTAAAGTGTTTATCAGCTCTCTAGATCCATCAGTGGTTTGTCAAGTCAGTTGATTTCAAAATTAATAAAGACCATTTCAAGGGTAATTAAGTTCTAGTGATTTTTATTTTTTTTTCAATTCGATCAATTACCAGAGACCAGACTGAGAGGTTTGTGAAGTACAGAAAAGCTATTGATGAACAACAAATTCTGCTGTTGCAATCAGAAAGCATTTTGTGGAACTTGAGTGTTAGAGAAAGCAACACAGACTTAAAATGAAGGAAAATAGAAACAGGATTAGAAGAGTTCATTGGAGACATTGTTTGCTGTTTTCCTGATACAGTTACCAAATCAAGTTATCGACACATTTTCTCTCTACTTGTTTCATCATTTTCTTTGTAGTGGCAGTTCAACACAACCAAAGAGTTAGGAGAGTGACTGCAGGAAAATGAAATTCAGAATAGATGTGGTAAAATAAATTTTTACTTTTTTGTTAACAGTAATAATACCAAATCTCTTTCCCTTTGAGATCAAGTATCTGCTCATAATAAAGATCTCTGAGACCTCAACTGGCTGTAAAGCCAGTGAATGCCAGTCTACATGTAATTTTAATATAAAAACCAAATTTGGCTAAAAATGAAAAGACTATTTATCAGAATGGAAGGGAAAATAAGAATATTATTTTCAAAATTAAAAAATTAGTCTATGCTACAAAAAGTAGCTTTGTTTCAGAGTTTTTAATGAATCAGTTGGGTTGGAAACTTGTTTTTGTATTTTATATTTATCACTATGGCAGAAGAGGAAAGAACACAGGACTTTGGTTCATAAATGGACCTGCAAAACCACCTCAGTTAAAGAACTGAGAATAAACCAGAAAAAACAGAGAAGCTGCATATCAAAGATGTTAAATGAGTGAGCCAAAGGTGCAGGACCATCCTAAGGAATGTGATTTCCCTACCTGTTGTCCGCATAAACAGCTTGTGTGGCTGACTCTCGTAGCCCCGGGAGCTGTGCAGGGCAACCCAGTCAGGATTTATTAACTTGGCACTGGAAAACAAAGTACAGACACATCAAAATGCAGACAGTTCTCATTTCCCTTTACACTCCTCTCAGCCAAAAAGATGACATGCACAGGAGCATATTCCAAGAGTCAAGATGAATGAGAAGAAATATTTCAAAGAGCAATAGTGATCAATGAGAGATCTTCCTCACCCCCAGATCAGTTTACACTATAAACTATTTCACAATTCAAAAAACCCAATCTTTGGAAAAAGTAAAAAGGGAGTACAATATTTATTAGAACAAGATAACCACCTTCAGTCTGGTTCCACTGACTTTTAAAAAAACAATTGTAAATACCTTTCATACTTAAGTATTAAATATAAACCATTTACAGTTCACATAGATGCCCCACATAACTCTGCCTGTGCACTTTAACCTACATTCTTATTCCATAAGTCTCATTCCAACGAGAGTAAAGCCCCTGTGGAAAAAGTATTCCAATAACAGAATTCTATTTACATGATATCCAGTCATCAAATGACACTGGGGCTCTCCACACATGAGAGCTTTCCCGAGCAATGCACCCAGTTCCTACAGCACTTTTTCCCTGGGCATCACTGATCCAGCAGTGGAAAGCTGGATATCCAAGCCACATCTAAAGCTGCTAAAATTTACAGACCTGGCAAAAAGGAGAATGTAACACAGAAGTATTTGAAATCCTGAACTTACATGTAAGCACACACAAAACTGTGATAGGCTGTGAGAGGTGGATAATCAAGGCCCCAGTACAGGAGGTTGTTATCGCTTGTGTTGAAGTACCTAGAAAAAATAAAATTAAATTTAAATAAGTATCTACATTTCCAGCTTGGTTTTGGCCCAAGGAAAAGGCTGAATGCTAAATGTATTCAAAATCTAAAACAGAAGCTAGCAACTTGTGTATCTGTTTAATTTTACTGCAAATAAAGAAAATCTCGAGCAACAAAGTAACAGTAACAGTGACTCAGAGTTCACATATTTGTGGCTGCAGAACAGGTTTAGAAAAGCTGCTAAAGTTCATTTATCTGGAGCAGGAAAATCCTAGTTCTCCCTCAGAACTCAGGTGGACCACGTGCAAGAAAGGAAAAGGATTTTCCCATTTGTGATCCCATTGTGTCAGTATTTCTATGGAAGGCTGGCAGCAGTTCAAATTGTCACCTCTTCCAAGTGAGAAACAGAGGGTTTTGTCCAAGGAAAAGTTACAACAGTAAGGCATCAGATCCTTTTTATCTCCCGGTGAAACACTGATTACTCTACTCCAGCTGCCACAGGGCAAGCTCTTGGCTTTTCCAGTTTCTCTCTTCAAATGCAGCCAATTTTTGACATTTATTATAGTAAATGATATTTCTTGAATTCTTTATGAGCTGCCTGAAGTGTCTTATGAGCTGATGATAAATCACATTTCTTTGAGTTGCATCTCTGCTTCTCATCCTACAATTCAAGACCGCTCACGCCAAGGCGGTGCAGATCCTTCGACAGAATGTAACAGTTTGCAACTTTTAGTGAACTTTACATTTTGGGGAGTTTATTTTTTTAATTTTACCTTACATAAACTCATAGTTTCAATAAAAAACCCCAACCCCATATCCAGTAATATTTATCAAGAAAGCCTTCAGAGTTTTAATTAGCAGTAGGATAAGAACGTTCTTAAAGCAGCCTTTAATAAATAATGTCAAGACTCTAAAGAACAACATAAATAAGAATTATTTAAGTTCTAGAATGTAATCCCTCGCATAGATGTGTTTTTCCCAATGCCCAAGATTGAATACGACTTTGCTATATTAGAGATTGAATTCCCAGACCAGAACCAATCAAAAAAACCCTCAAACTTCCATTAAAAATATAAAATTACATAAATGATAAAAACAGAGAGCAAATACACCAGGACCAAGATGCCCACCTGGCAGCCCATCAGCTAAACCCAGCCTGCAACAGTTTCACCTGGCCCCTGGGAACGCCTGGAAATAATGGCTGCTATAACTCCTAATTTTAAGTGGATATAGTTCAGTGTAGCAGAGTGGATCAAAGCTACCAACTCTATTATTATGGAATATCCCTTATCCCAGGTTTGGAGATGATAATACAGATACAACAGGATGATCTGAGGTCACTACACAGAGCCACCTGCAGATATTTACAGAAATACAATTGAATTAATATCCTATTCTGTCACATCAGTGTGTTCCCCAACAGCTGAGGAAAAATTACACCAGACAAACACCACCACTGTCCCTGCTGGAAGATGACCTGGAATTCCAATATATTCCAGTTTGTGTTGTATCATACACATGGACTAAATAATTTTTACTGTTCCATGCATGATCTAAGGAATAATAGCAATAATGTAAAAAGAAATAAAATATTTGGAATAATTTTCCTTCTGTTTTAAGTGGTCTGTACAAATTAAGGTCGCTATCCTTACATCTACATTCCAGGCACTCACATCTAAAAAATCTAACAGGAAATGGGTGGGAACAAAGGACTCAGAGGTGTAAAACACAACCAAAATTTCAGTACATTCACCCTTTGTAAGCTGAGCTCCACCAGCACCACCTACCACTGCCTGATGGGTAAATTGTAAGTAATTTCTTGCCAGTGCCTCTGAGCTTCATAGTCTCCATACATAGGTGGTTTTCCTGCACCTACAAAAATAGGATAAAGCAGTTAGGAATTATTTGGTTTATACAGATTGCTTTCCCCCAGTTATGTATTGCATATTAATATACTACTGATTTTATTCTCCATTGTATTGTAGAGCAAACAGACACTGCTATGCAGTCTCACAGGGAGGACAAAAAAGGTATGTGTTCTTTTGGCTTTCTGGATATTTCTGCAATAAGCATTTATCAAGGCACTGTGCGGTGAAGAACTGCTTCCTCATCTGACAAAAAAAATCATTTCCAAGTGTAGATGAAAAATGGGGCACTTTCACTGATTTTGTGTGAACTACTGCACTTCCTTAGACCATGTTCTCACCTGTGTTCCAGCCACGTTGTGGCACCTTACTATTAAAATCAACAACCAGCCTTTTTTCATGAGAAAAAAAGCTTTATCAATGCAAACACTTCAGTGTCTACTCAAATAGTTCCCTCAATGGAAGGTTAACTCTGATACTGGCAGCACGTTAAGCACCTTCACACAGTTTATTTACTTCTATTAACCTGCTTATTGAGAACAGAGACTGGCCTGATTGTACTCCCAGTGAAATACTGACATGAGCCAGACAGAGATTTAAGGGTTTCTTTAAAATATAGGAAAGCCATCTATATTTCTTCACATGATCTATGTTTGTGGGAGTCCCACAAGCTCAGATATGTAGTATTTATTCCCAGAAAGTGGAAAGGACATATTATCTCTGCTAATTTATTCCTGGATGGTAGAGAGAATAGATTATCTCCACTATATGACACATTCAACCTAAAGTTTCCTAAATAAGTGAGGTCACCGAGCAACAGGAGTTTTATCAGTGTCAGTTCTGGAGCTATAAATCTAGTGGAACATAGAATCTGCCATAGGATTTCTGAAATTCAAGATTTTAATCCAAAGTTTCATTATAAAAAGCCAAATACAGACTGGTCAGTTAATTTAAGAACACATATTTACCTTCCATCTACAGCAAGCACGGAGTATACAGACACACTGGGTTAAAAATTAATAAAAATAAAATATTTTATTTTAAAAGGGTTGTTCCTTTTCCTATTCCAAAAGGAGTTACATGATCATTGCGTAGGAAATCAGATTAAAAAAAATGTTCTAGTTTAGGTGTTATTTTAGACTATCTTTCAAAGTCTTGATAGATTTGAAATTAAATCAAGTTTTAAAAATCCTGTTAGCAGTGGAATTGTAAATACTTGAAGTGCAAGAGAAATTCAGTGTTGTGTGGCAAAAGATAGGGTGTTTTCTGCCTAGAGATGGGTAACAGAGCCTCAGTTACCTACAGATCTCTCAGAATGGCATTTTCAGAAAGCAAACTCAAACCAAAACAACTGGGCATGCAACTCAGGTTCAAGCAAATTCCCTCACTTGAATGAAGCCCAGCAGTTACCAGTTCAATCACCAGAACACTCCTGAACAGCTCCAACCACTCAGGGGACGAGGCTCCAACTGACTCAACAGAAAACCAGAGCTGGACTAAACTGAGCTTGTGATACTTTTAACTGATGAAGGTTGAAAATAATGGTTCGGTTTTTATTTTTTTCCTCAGTTTGCAGAGAGCAAGCTCAGAGCAAACTTATGCTAAATGGGAATGGCACTGAGAGGCTTGGAAAGAAACTTGCTAATTCTTTGCAAGTGTTCTGACATGGGGAGGAGAAAAACTCATCCATTAACAGGATACAGCTGCAGCTCAGGCTGTAAACAAGCTCAAGGAAGCACAGCTCCAAGGCAGAGTAATCCCTCACTCCACGTCACTTTTACACTGTCTTCATTAGCACTACTGTAGTTTTAAAACCATAATTCATATTTAGCTGTCTGATATCGAATTTAAAGGACAATAGTAAACAAATCTACAGTTGGACTGCAATATTCTGCACATAAAGGCACAGGGGAGAACAGCCAGATGTTCGACCTAAAACACTGCTGACCACCACCACCCCTCAAAAAAAAAGTTTTGGTGTTTTTTCCCCAGTGTTTTGTTCCAAGCAGCTGTGATGTTAATCACTGCACTCTTCAAAAAACAAGAACAAGGAATTCTGAGGGAAATCGAGACACACTAAAATACGATGATGCTTGAAATAACACATTGTTTCCTATTTATGATTTCACATAAATAAAAAGTTTATTTTCATTTACCCCGGGGTCCACAATTCAGCCTGTGAAGGTGCATTACCTGAGTAGGAGCCCAGTGACACAGCCCAGCGCACAGTAAGTGCCAGTAACACAGTAATTGTCATTAAGCTCCACTTCTCCATGGCTGGCCTTTGTAACAAGCCAAAAGGGACCTGAAAAAAGACCACAAACATTGCTACAATACCATCCATGGGGTTGTTCCTTGGGGATTACTGCTAGTCCTGGTTGAGGCCACTTAGTTTCTCAGTTAAGAGCACCACTGCCAAATTAGGCAGAGTGTAGATCTGGGATAGGCAGCACTGCTGGTTTGAAGGTATTACAGGTTATTTAAATGAGGGCTGATCTCCCAGCAAACTTACTTGACCACACTAAGGACCCAGTAACAATAAGAAACTGCCAAATCAGTAAAAATTAAAGGCCACATGCATCAAACTCAGAAAGCAAAAAACAGGAAAATAATTATGTTGCCCTATGTAAAAAGAAAAAAAAAACAAAACAAAACAAGCCACTAACTAACTATAGAATATGCAAACTTTGACCCAAAGAAACAAAAATATTTTAGTCTGAATTAGAAGAAAAGTGAGGAAGAAACTAGTCCAGCCTTGATAGTGAGAGATGGGATGAGCCTGGGTACAACTGGCACAGATTTTCCTTGCAGGAAAGGCATCATTTGGCTTAAGAGAGTTTAATATACTTGTTCATGAGCACAAAAAAAAAAGGCAACAACAACAACAAAACCACACAAAAAAAAACCAAAACAAAAAACCAACCTCCTCACAGCAGCAGTACTAAGCTGCTGTTTTAGTAACAGACAAGCAACATCCAAGGCATATTTAGGTGATTCTGCTCAAACTACATCCATATTTATTTCCAATTCACAGAAAGCTGTGACCCAGCACCACCAAGGGAAAAGTTAATTAATAATATAAATCTGTGGCAGCAGTAGATCACCATCTATCCATAGAAAGGTGAACACTGACATTTGCATGTTTTCAATGTGCCTAAACCACAGGGGAGGCACTTTTATCTAAATAAAAGATAATGGGGTCGACTTCATAGATCCTTTCACTCTAAGTGGACTCTTGTGCTTCCTAAATTTGGGTCTAATAGACCCAGGGTCCTATAAGAATTCCAAAATCAAGCATCACAAGCCCAGCCCTTCCCTTCTATAAAATACATCTGCCCTTCCCTTCCAGCTCATCAAAACATTTATTAATTAATTACACCTTTTTAATTTCCACATAACATCTACACACTCCCCATCTCTGTTCCTCTCATTTACTTCTGCCATTCCCTACTTTTGGAATAACTTGTTTTTCTGAGATACTGAATTTCTTTCTCTCCCCTCAAAAGTGGTTCTTGAAATAATTCTTTCCTACTTATTTTTCAGCTTTAGTAATTATCTCATACCTCCTGAAACAAAAAGCCACGCTTTTATTAGAATCTAGAGCACAAATCTCTAGTTTCTGCTATCCTGTGAGTAACAATATTAAACAAGGAAGAGGTTTCAGGGGATGATAAAGCTGGTTTGGTCAGTCCCAAACTTTTCACCTTCTGCCTCTGCACGTGTGACACTGACGGTCTCTATAGTGAGATGCCACCTGGAAGCATATGGTGAAAATCACTCAAAAATCCCACTATCCTTCCACACTGCCCACGACGAAGATAAATAACACCAACACAGACCACCCACTCCTGGCCACAGGGACGCTGACAGAACTCAGCCGGCGATGCACAGCCCTTAATACAATCTGCTTTTAAATCAGCACACGTCTCAACAGCGCCTTTCCCCTCCTCAGAAACGCGAACGCTGAATGAAGAACTTAATCTGTTGCAGCAATACCCGTCTGTGATCCTGCTGTTCCCCTCACCCTGGTCAGGAGGTGCTTTTACTCCTCCCAGTCCTTCATCCCCCTCATGACTCACTCACCCCGCTCTCAGATCCCACTCACACACCTCGCACCCCCTGGCCTCCTCAGAGACCCCCAGGATAAGCTGTCGCTGAGGGACTCACGGCCAGGGCTCCCTGCGAGTCCGCCCGCAGGGCGCTCCCACCCACCAGCGGACCCTGCTCCCCTCAGCCTCCAGCCCCCTTCACCCCTCAGCCTCCAGCCCCCTTCACCCCTCAGCCCCCGCAGTCCCTTCACCCCTCAGCCCCCCTCGCCTCCCTCAGCGCCCTCATGCCCCTCAGCCACCTCAGCCGTCCCAGCCGTGTCAGCCGCCCTGGCCTCCCTCAGCCCCGCTCACCGCCCAGCTCAGCCGGTCCCGTCCCGTCCGTTCCCGCCCTCGCTCCCTCACCGGCTCGGCCGCCACGCGCGCTTCCGCCTGTGAGGCGCCTTCCGGGCGGGCTGTGCGCATGCGCGGGGCGGAAGCCTGGGAATCCTTCATGGATCCGCGGGGGGATGGAGAACTTCAACTCTGGGAGAGCTGGGGGTGTTCCCCTGGAGAGGAGAAGGCTCCGGGGAGACCTTAGAGCCCCTTCCAGTGCCTAAAGGGGCTCCAGGAGAGCTGGAGAGGGACTTTGGACAAGGGGCTGGAGGGACAGGACAAGGGGGAATGGTTTCCCACTGCCAGAGGGTAGGGTTAGGTGGGATATTTGGGAAGGTATTCTTGGCTGTGAGAGTGGTGAGGAGCTGGGATGGAATTCCCAGAGAAGCTGTGGCTGCCCCATTCCTGGAAGTGTTCCAGGCCAGGTTGGATGGGACTTGGAGCAACCTGGTCTAGAGGAAGGTGTCCCTGCCCATGATGGGGGTGGGACTGGATAAGCTTTAAGGTCCCTTCTAACCCAAACCATTTCATGGCACATGTAGTGCTCACATCTCCACGGCAGCAGCTCAGGGAAGTGGGGGATGCGCTACTGGGCATTGCTGATGAAAAGCACAGTCCTGGCACATGGGAGGACCAGCTTTTTGTTGAGGCAATGAATCTCAGTGTGGGTTCATTTTCACAGAAGGAAGGGAGCGGCTGGAAGGCTTGTTCTTCAACACACCAGGTCACTGTGAAGAAGCTCCTCATCTCATCCCACCCCCTGCCTTGGGCAGGGACACCTTCCTCTAGACCAGGTTGCTCCAAGCCCGGTCCAACCTGGCCTTTCCTTCTGGCTGTGTGTCTGACTGAAACTGAATAGAAAACTGATTCTTTTTAAAACTAGCACCACATACTGAGGTTTTCGTGTCCAGACCTTCCACACGGGCTGCCAGCAGTGCTCTCCTTGAACTGGAATCCCAGGACTGAAAGTTGTGATGGGTTTAAATACAACTGCTACTGAATGAAAGTGTGGTGAAGAAGTGTCTGATTACTTGTAAATGAAATGTTAAGGTAACTAGAGATAGGAAACAAATGATTTTTTTTTTTTTAGAAGCACATGTTATTTTTTAAAAAAATAAGCACTATGAATATAGTATTCCATAACACCAGAGATGGGTTTTCTTTCTTTATGTTCTTCCACTGCAACAACATCTAGAATACTAATTTCCACTATCACAACCATTTTTGAGTGTAAATTGCTTGGACATCCTGGTCCCTCCGACACCTGCCATAATTTCTGTAACTTGTGGTGTTACCTCAGGTGAGACAGCATGAAGAGACTGAAAGTCTGAGGTCTTAAACTGATAAAGGCAAAAATCACACCTCTTTGCTGTTTTACCGTGGTGTTTAGAGCCATAATCCTGTGGAAAATGGCAGATTATGCCCATCAAATTTTACACAGTTTATCTAATCTGTTGTACTCCATCACTTATACTGCTGCTAAGTAAAATGCTTCTATTGCAGGACATTGGTAGGATTTTAAGGGTTGTCTGGAGATCACAACTCTGTAAAAGAAGCATAATCCTAAAAACTCATCAACCACAAAGTAACTTGGAATACAGAGTTACACGTCCTGAACCCACTGTGGCTGGAGCTGGTTTATGACACTGAAAACACGCGATGCAAAGTGAATTCCCAGCCTAAACCCGGTGAAGAATCACCAGGGCATATTCCTATTTCAGTCCTCCTCTCTTCTCTTTCTTTTCCTCTCCATTCCTTCTCTTCCCTCCAGGATTTTCCATGCCCGGAATTCCCCAAACGGCGAGGCCGGGGAGCACAGCAGCGCTCAGCCACCCCCAGTCCGTGATCGTTGCCTATGGGCTCCTACAGCAAAAAAAGGAAGAAGTTTTTCTGTTTTGTCTTGCAGGTTATTCCTAATTAGTTTCTGGAGCTGGAATAGGCGAGCAGGAGCCCATGGCCGCACATTCAAGTGCATTATTTCAATTAGCTGAGCGCTCTTTGTTGCAAGGTGAAATCATTCACTCCCCGGGAAAGCTTTTTTATTGAATGCTTTCTAAATACTTGCATTGGGCACGTCGCCTGGAATTGAGTCTCTGTCACTAGTGTTTCTGCGGTGACTTTGACCAGATCAATGACTGGAAAAGGCGTTAAGGACACATTGATACCGCGGGGTAGGAGACGAGCGGGATTTGGTGCTCAGGAGTAAAGAGAAACCGATAATGAGGAGATAAACGGCTTTTCTTAACCCTTGGCGTTCTCGGGAGGCTTCGGCAGCTGCGCTGCTATTTCTCCTCCACCCTAGCTCTCAGGCTTTATGTAAAGCCCAGCGGTGGCAAGGCAAATATCTCCCGGGTATTTCATAAATTTGGAGTGAAATGCGGTCAGGATAATAAGAAAGTCTTTCCTGGGGCAGACTGGGGGAAAAGCCTGCGGCCATAAAAAGTTCCAGCTCGTCAAGGATTTCGTTTCTGAGCGGAGCCGTGATGCAGGAGCGAGCGGGGAAACAAACTCTGGAGACGTTTTCAATTGCAGATTCACAATCTGACCTTTTATGCCGACACCAGAACATCGGCCGTGATTTAGCGGGCACAGAGCTGGGCGCTGGGAGCCACGCACCGACAGCCCGCTGGAGCCTCGGCTCTTTCCTATCCTTTTCCGAGCAAAAACAGGAATAAACATTTTTGAAACCACTGCCGGGGAGATGGATTTATTTTATTTTATTCCCCTGAAATACTAGGACTTAATAAAGTAACTAGAAATTATTGAGGGTTTGGGTGGTCTTCTTGAGTCCCTGCGATTCTCTGGGCGTTGGGGGACACGGAGCTTCCCCCGCCCGACCCGGGGACTCCCAGCCCGGGGGATGCTCCGAGCCCTCGGTAAAGCAGAGCAAGACTTTCCATCCCTTCATGGAGAGGAGAGATTGGGCCGTTTTCCTGTGTCCCGGCTTTTCCCATTTTGCTGAACCTCGAGAAACCCGGGGTTTTATTGCACCTGGAGTTCAAGGACGCTCCCTCTCACACTTCGCCGTCTTAATAAAGTCGCGCAGTGCCTGCTTCCTCAGCTTGCTTACCAAATCCTGGATTAATAAAGTTTACTTAGTTATTTAAATAGATTAAATGTCACATTTTAAATGGAAGGGGAAGGTTCTACCTTCCTGACCTATTTTTCATTTCTGATTTAGAAAAAGGCAAGATTAGCATGGATATTGCATTTTCAAGGACCTCGCCACTATTAAATAGACTGTTAAGTGCATTTTATGGCTGAAGAGTCTGTTCCCAGTTCAGTCTGGAAGACGTGCTAAGTTCATCTCTACCTGCTACATTGAACATTCACTGACTAAAATACTTCCTGTGGATGTAATACCTATGCTCTGCATCTTTTAAGTACATAACGCTTTATGTTTTAGCACTGGTAACACGTAATTCAATAAAAGCCCCCGAAATAGAAGTGTTGTCTCCCAAGAAAACTGCATGAGGGTGTTTGGCCAGTTGCAGCAGTTCCCGGCTCGTGGAAAAGGCACGGCGGTGGGAAGGGAGACTTCGAGGAGGGATGACAGGGATGCTCGCGGCTCCGGGCGGGGGTTTAAGCGGGAGCGCATCAGTCTCCGCCCCGGGGAATGCCCGTTCCCGTGCCCAGATCCGCGGGGATGGGCAGCGCAACTTGCGCGTGGAGCTCGCTGTGATTTGTCACCGGCTGCCTTCTAATACCAATAAAGTCCCCCTCGGAATGGCGAGGCTGTTTTTCCGCCTCCCGGGCCGAGTTGACCCCGCGGGGTCGGACCCCCGTGCGCCTCGGACGCGAGGAAGTGTCCACAAAACTGCCCGAGCTGCCCCAGGAGGCAAAATCCCATCGAATTCCCTCGGGAACTGCCCCCCTGCCCCGCACCCGCAGGCGGGAGAAAAAATCTTCACCCCCGCAAAAGCAAGTCCTTGTGTCTTTTCCGGAGCAGGAGACTCCCGAGAGCCCAAAGAAGGACGAGGAATGGCGCTTCCCAAAGCGAAATGTTGGCCCCCCTTCCTTTATTTCTGGCCCAGGAGAGCCCCATCCCCAGAGTCGGAGGGAGCGCTGGGAGTCTGCCAGCGCTGCGATATGCGGGGGGTGGGCGGTTAAATGCCCCCGGTACAGCCGGCGCGGACCCAAACCAGTAACCCTCGAGGAACAGGGAAGCGTATCCCAAAGGGGCTCGATGTCCCCAGTGGATGATTTTCTCCGGCCACCTCCCTGTGGGACAGACCGAGAAGGAAGGTGTCCGATGGGCATCCCTCCCTTGGTGCCCCCGGAGCGCTCCCGACGGTGTTTCCTCCGGGAAACCGGGCCTCAGTTCTGCCGTCCCGTAGCTCCGGAGAGGGGTCTCCGACCGCTACCCCGCCGGGAACACGGCTGTGCCGAGCCAGGGGACTGGGGGCGGAGGGGGCTTCTTACAGAGGAACAACGTCCACGCGCGATAAATACACAGTGTCCGCATAATATCTTTCCTTGCCTTTTCCAACGCTCGCCGCAGCCTCTCAACACCCATTAGCCCCGTCAACCCGTAACTTTGAGCCCCGCGCTCTGCCCGGGAACAGACCGTGGTGCTATAAATAGACGGTGCTGGGAGACGGCAGAGCGGAGTGGGGGGGAAAAGGGGGCGCAACTCCCGCGGCCGCCCAGGGAAAGGCGAGAGTTCCTCGGGAGCCTAGGAAATGGCCCTGATGAGCCCATCTCGTCCCTTTTGCAACCAACGTGATGGTTTAGAGGATTAGGGCCAGATCCTATCGTACATTCCTTCCCCGGACGGAGGGAGCGGCGGGGTCGTAATTGCAATAAACAAGGGGGGAAGTGTCAGCGGAGTGGCGGTGGCTCTGGGTAAACTCTCTGGGCTGCGAGGAGGGTCATTTTCGCGGTGTTTCGGATCTAGTTACTTCCAACACACCCCAGGGACCGACGTGACACGACTTACACTAATGGGCATCTGTCACCGGCCGTGTCAAGTTGTGCCATATGCATCGGACAAGTTCGTGGAAGGGAAAAGCAGAGAAAGAACAAGGAAAAGAGTTTCTGTGGTCTGGCTGAGGCCCGTGGCTGAGGACAGTTCGCCAGGACATGATGCTCCCGTTTGCCCCCGGCCCGCCGCTCCCGGTCCGGCTGTGGAGGCTGCACCCACTCCTCTGGGCAGCACCGTGCGGGAAAGCCGCTCCCGTCCCGGCTGCAAACCCTCCCCTATATGGGGACCGATTTCTGGCACCCCCGGGACCGCCGAGCCCCGCCGGTAGCTTTGTGCCCATTCGGTGCCGTCCCGGGGGCGGCTGCAGACACCGGGAGTGCTCCCATACCCCTGAAGTGCTCCCGGTTCCCCGGGGTGCTCCCGGCCCCGGGGGCTGTGGGGGTGATCCCAACCCCGAATGATGCTCCGGGCTCCGGGGGATGCGGGATGCTCCCGGTCCCGGGGGGTGCGTCCATTCCCGCGGGTGCAGCGGGACCTGCCGCGCCCCCCGCAGGCCCCGGTGCGCCACTGCAGCCCCGCGGCCACCGGGAGCCTCCCCCGCCCGCACGGACCCGCTGCCTCTCTCGGCCCCGCGGCTGCGGGACCCGGTGGCTCCCGCGGGGAGGGGGCGGCTGGGCGGGGGTCTCACCGGGGTCCTTCCCCAGCCCCGCGCCCTCCCGGTGCTGCCCGGCCCCGGGGGCCGCCGCCGCCGTCGCCCCTTCCCGGGGAAAGGCTTCTCCTGGCAGCCGCTGTCCTCGACGATCGAGGGAAGACTGGGGGAGAGAAAGAGAGGACTGAGGGAACGGAGCTAGAAGCGGTTCCCGATGGGAGGCAGCGGGAGGAAAGTTGCCGATGCCGCCGCCGCCGCCGCGCAGATGCCGAGCCGAGGTATTGCTGCTATGTGGGGAAATATGAGCGAGTAATTTTATAAGTAACAAAGGCTGGGGAATGGAATGAGCCCCTGTTATCCGGTGTCCTCTGGAAGCCCTGGATCAGCAGCTTCTTGAGCCTTACAGTGACTCCGGGCAGAGGCTCCTTCCTTTTTTCCCAGGGGATCCGCTAAATATAGAAACCCCCTCAATCGCACAGATCACCCACCATTTGCTGTTTGTGTAAAACCGATTACCCAGACACAACTGTGAAACAACCCGCTTCTCTGACACCGCCACGCACCGCCACATTCCGCTCCGCGGGGTTCCGCGGGGCCGTGGGTGCCCGTGCAGGGCCTCGCGTGTCCCCGCTCTCTCCAGGTTCTCCCTGTCCCTGGCAGATGATTAGCGAGTCCTTATTTATAAAGTTCAAACGATCTCATCACCGGGGCTGCTCGGTTTATTTTAGTCTATGTATGCGGAGGTATAAATATTTACTTAGGAAGAAATAATATTTACTGCTTACCAGGAAAGCAAGGACACTTTTATTTATATATTTATTTTAAATTCGCGGCTGCCAGCGGGTTTTTGGAAGGGAAATAAGAGCCTGGTCCAGCTTCTCCCGCAGCCGAGCCTGCCGCATCCCGCATCCCGCCTTCATTTCACGCCGCCGATTTTCCTAACAAAGACAACGAATTATTTGGGCGGAAAAGCAAAATCCACGAAGGTTTTCAAAGGTGACAAAAAATGTCACGTTGTAAGAAGAAGATAATGAAGTATCAAACACTGTCAGTGCACAGGAGAGACCGAGATCTCTCCAGGCTCAACACCACAAAGCGCTGCTTTAAATATTATGACGCTACATATTAATTCTCTCTCTTTCTTTTTTTCCTCTTGGCCGGTTCTTTACTTTAGCCCCGAAAATATACTTGAATCTATTTTTTTTTAAATTTTTGCAGCTGTCGTTAAAGCAGAGTTTTTAGGAATTAGCTGGGAAAGGCCAGTTCCTTCCCGCGGGAAGAGCCGCTGCATTAACAGCGATAATTTTCCTGATCGAAACGAAAAATCCGCGCTCGGACACCGCACGGGCACGACTTGATTATATATAATTTTTTTTTCATATAAAATAAATAATAAACATTGCTTAAACTGACCCAACGTGTTTTATGCAAAATAATTTCCCTTATAATTAGCCCCGAACGCCGACCCAAAGCGTACCAATTCCGGCCGGGAATCCCGCAGCGTCGAGATGCGGAGCCGAAGTCAGGCCGAGAAAAATGTATATATTTAGGGAAACATCACGGCGCGGTTGAGGGAGCCTCGGATCTGCAGGGGAAGGTTTGATTTTGGAAGAATCGGTGTGATGTTGGCCCCGCCGCGGCGGCTGCTCCGGTAACAAGCAGGGCCGGTGGCTTTCGCTGCGCGGCCGCGCAAAGCACATCCCGAGCGGCGGGAGATTCCTTGGGAAACCCGCCCGCACCGCCCCACGCCGCGACCTGCGGAACCCAAACCTCCGCGGGGATGGAGAACCGGAGCTCCGCGGCCGCGCCCCGCGCTGTTCTTCCCCCTCCGCGATTCTCCGCGGCCGCGCATCCCGTCCTGCGAGCGGGGGGTCACAGAGGAGCCGCTCACACAGAGACGGGCAGAGCATTTTAAAAATTTATTTACAAAGTTGTGTACAACACGAAGGGATAACATTTAGAATACATATATTCATTCATATATAAACAGACTTCTATAATAGAATGACAGCGTTTTTCCTCCTTTTTTTTTCCTCCAAAATTCTCTCTCTTTTTTTTTTTTGTTCGTTCGTTTAATACTTAAAATTTCCCCCGCTTATTTTTTTGTACAATTTCGTTTTCTCGTTTGTTCGTTTATTTCGGATAAAACCGCTCGGAGCGCCGGAACCTTCAAAAAAAGTGAAAGTTCGCAGCTCCTTAATCGCGACCGTCATTTCACCTCTTTAGAAAAATAAAAACCCCGAAAGCAACGTCAGTGATTTTTGATACAAATATGTACAAGCGGCGGTGGCCGGTGCCCGCTGCCGCCCCGAGCCCCAGCGGCCGCGGAGCCCCGAGGGGGCGGCCGGAGCCCTCCGGGGCGATGCCCGGGGCTACCGCCCGGGGCTACTGCGCCGGCCACTTGGCCTGCACGGCGGCGGCGGGGGCTGCGGGCTGCAGGAACTGCCCCGCGATGATGTTGGTAGGCACGCTGAGGATGGGGGCGATGGCCGCGGTGGTCCTGGCCAGCGCCAGCGGCTGGTGGGCCATCAGGGCCGACTGCACGGTGACGGGCGGCCGCAGGAAAGTCTGTGCGCTGGCGGCCGAGCTGGCGGCCGGGACGCCGATGATGTTCTCGATGCTGAAGGACGGGCGGCTGCTGGGCTCCGACTTGACGATGGAGCCGGCGGCGCCCAGGCTGTTGAGCTGCAGCTGGAGGCTGGGGCTGAGCTGGGAGTTGAAGGCTTTGCGGCTGAGCTCGCTGGACGGCAGCAGCGGCACGGCGGGCGGCAGCATGGGCCCCACCGGAGGGATGTAGGGGTACTGCAGCGCGGCCGCGGCCGCCGCGGGGTGCGTGTAGGCGCCGGGGTGCAGCCCGTAGGGGCGGCCGTAGGGGCCGGCCAGGCCGTAGGCACCGAAGCCCTGCATCATGAGAGCCGTCTGGTCCCGCAGGTGTTCCTGCTGGTGCCTCTTGAAGCGCTTCCTGCGGCGGAGGAAGCTGCCGTTGTCGAACATGTCCTCGGACTGCGGGTCCAGCGTCCAGTAGTTGCCCTTGCCCGGGTTGCCGGGCTCCCGGGGGATCTTGACGAAGCAGTCGTTGAGTGAGAGGTTGTGGCGGATGCTGTTCTGCCAGGCGGGGAACTTCTCCCGGTAGTAGGGGAAGCGATTGCTGATGAACTCGCAGATGCCGCTGAGCGTCAGCTTCTTCTGCGGGCTCTGTAGGATGGCCATGGTGATGAGGGCGATGTACGAGTAGGGCGGCTTCACCAGGCTGCTCTTGGGCTTGCTCTGCCCCGCCGCCCCGCCGCCGCCGCCGCTCGCCCCCTCCTCGCCGCCCCCCTTGCCGCCCTCGGCCGCGCCGCCGGGGGCCGCCCCGGCCGGGCTCCCGCTGCCGCTGCTGCCGCTCTCCGCGCCCGCGCCCGGCTCCGCGGGCAGCGCCAGCTCCGCCGCTTCGTCCAGCGGCAGGCGCGGCAGGGCGGCGGGGCTGCCGGCCTCGCCCTCGCTGTCCTTGCCCGGCCCGTCGTCGCCCTCGCCCACCACGTCGATATCCACATCCTCGGCCGCCGGGACGGCGGGGCCGGACATGTCGCTGGCGCTGCCGCCGCCCGACAGGGTCATCCCCGCTCGGCGGGGCGGCGGCGGCGGGGCCTCCCGACCGCACCGGGGTCCCCCCGCGCCCCGCTCCCGCCGCGGCTTCGACCGGCCCCGGGGGCTACACCCGAGCGGGCATGGGGCCGTCCCCGCGGGGCATGGGGCGGCCGCGCCCGCCGCTCTCCCGTGCGCGGGGCTGCGCTGGCCGCCGGGTCACCTCCCGCCGCCGGGCATCGGGGCTCAGGCGGCCGCTCCGCTGGGTCCCGCCCGCCGCGCTGCGCGCCCGCCGCGCATGGGGCCGCTCCGCGGGCCGCCGCCGCTCCACCGCTCCGCTCCGCGGCCGCGCCGCGCACCGCTCCGCCGCCCTCCGCGCTGGATGGATGGGGGGTTTTTTTCCTTCCCTCTTTCCTCCTCTCCTCTGGGTTGTTTTTTTTTTGCCGGTTGTTTTTTTTTTCCCCCCCTCGGCGGAGGGAGGGGACGGAGCTCCCGGCGGCCGGGCGGGGCGGGGGCAGGAGGCCGGGGGTCGCGGGGCCTCGCTCGCCACTTTGGCAGCGCGGCGGTCCCGACTGCCTGATAGATTACTTTCCCGTTAAAGATATACTCGGAGGCGGCTCCACGTGACCGCCTGACGTCAGGCGCCCCGCTGTGAAGTCATGCAAAACTCGAGTTGTTTCATGGACTGTCAACAAAGACCAGCGGCGGCTCCGCTCCGCCCGCCCCGACGGCCCCCGACGGCCCCGGGACCCTCCGGCCCCCGCGGACGAGTTGCCTCACCGGGGGCTCTTCGCCGCCTCCGCCGCTCTCGGTGCGCCGGCCCCGGAACCGCCGCTCTCGGTGCGCTCGGCAGCGCAGGCTCGGCGGATGCGCCGCAGTCATAGCGCTTAAAAGCACCAAGTTTGGGCTCCGAAACCACTTTTCTGTGGTTTTCTAATTTTTTTTAATTTTTTTTTTTTTCTAGCAGCACACCACCAGCTGGGAACGGAAGATCAGAGAATGGCTATTGATTAATCTATTAGCTTAGTTGCAGAGAGAAATAAAAAAGACGTAAAATAACAAAGGGAAACTATAAATAAAGACCCTTTTAGCCGGTTTCTTTTTTTTTTTAATTTTTATTTTCCTTTTTTTTTCCTTTCTTTTTTCTTTTTTTTTTTTTTTTCCAGAGGTATTAACGACTTAATCTTTGCGGGCCTTAGCGTAAGAAAAAGTAGGAAATGAGGGAGTGTGTGTGAATGTGAGGACCGTATTGCCGCGGCCCCAGGTAAGCCCCGGCCCGGGGAGAGGCGCCCGGCGGGGCGGGAGGGGGCTCGGCCGCCCACCCCTGCCCCGGTGCGGGACCCCCCGCCCGGGCCCTCGGCCACGGGTGGCTCACGGTGTTTGGCTTTTTAATCCGTCCCGCCGAGCCTTTTGCTCTTGTAGTTCTCCCACGTGCTGTCCGATTTCGGTGAATGCAATTAAATTAGAAAAATGTCCCAGGAGCGAACGATTTCCTACGAGCGGTGCTGGCTTAGGGAAGGCAATTCCCTCCCTTCCCCCAAAATCCATCGGAGTCTCGCTAAGGTCGACGTCCCGGCCTCTCCCAGAGCCTCGACGGATCGCTGCGGGCGGGCCCGACCCCGCAGAAGGGGCCGCGGGGAGGATGGGGGGGACTTTCAGACTGGTTTCCCCCTGCGCTCCGTTTTTCCGCGTTTCCCAGTGGATCTCCGCGCCCCGTGGACCATGACCCTGGGCTCCGCACCCGCGCACCGCCCTCTCACACACACAGACTCACATACCCACGGCAGCACTCGCACACTCCCGTTACGTGTCCCCCCCGTCTCACCGCAAAGGCTCTCCCAGGGAAAAAGGAGAAAAACCCCCAACTCCGCAGCCCCCCGTTCCATTTGTTGCGCTGTTCTTCGACACAATAAAAGTCAAATTAATTGATTCATACCATTAATTACGGTGCTTAGCGTGAAAAGAAACGTTTCCCCTCGATTAGGGCTCTATTGTGCTAATCCCGTGTTCAATCACGGCTGCCGGCTGAGCGGGGCCGCCCCGCTCCGCGCCTTTCCGCGCCCCTCCGCGGGCGCTGTTGCGGCTCCAGGCCTTCATCTGGTGAAGTTTAGGGCAGTATTTTGGAGCCCACCTCGTTAGAAAGTATTTAGGAGCCCATCCAGCAGGAGTGGGGAGGGAGAAAATCTTTTCTAAAAATCGGGAAAGTTTTCCCCAAATATCTCGGGAGCGCCCGAACTCATCGAAGTTCAAGCGCTGAAGGGGAGCGGGAGCAGGAACTGCGTCCTGCAAAGCGATAAAATAATTAAAGCAGCTTCTGTGGAGGTGGAAACCCACAATAATGACACGGCCAGAAATAGAAAGTGGGCGCCCATATAGACAGATAGATTTAGCAACAGGAGAAAAACAAACTGTATCGTCTGGATCGATACGGAGTCAAATAGAGACACGGCAGAGCAGCGTGGAAAGGGAGGATGGAATAAGTTATGATAGAGACGGAGAAATTAATTACAACTCAATTTGATTCTAATATGGCAAAGCAAGATACTGGCTGCGAAGCGAGTTAAAAATAAATCCAGAGGCTGAGCCTCGGGGGTGGGGGGGATTGAGGAGGAAAGGCAAGGCTGGGGCAATTTCTGCTTCTGTAATCGTTTTAAAGGAAGGAGAAACCAAAGGTGTCCCCTTTCAGCTCCTTAAGCCTATTACTTTCACTAATGAGTTATATAAATCGTTGACCTGACCTGGATTAAACCAGCATTGTCGTTCGGTACAAACGTGCGGGGGTAAAGGGGCTCGCAGGAGAGGGGCCGCGGGTGAGAAATCCCTGTAAAATAAACATATCCAAGGGGAGGGACACGACAGGGACACACAGACATCCCCCGACCGGGGCTGGGACCGGGGACGGGGTCGGTGCTGGTCGAGTGGCGGCGCCTGGACCCCCCCTCCAGCCAGCCTTTTCGCTAAAGATGCAGATTATCATATATATATCTTCTTCTCCCCTATTTTTTTAGGCCTCTATCTGGACAGGTTTGATTTCCTTTTTTCTTTTCTTTTTTTCTTCTTCTTCTTTTTTTTTTTTTAAATTGTAATAAATCGCCCGCAAACCCGGCAGATCTCAGTGTAAAACGAAATTGGTCATGTTTCCAAAACTGCTTCGGATTTATTTGTATTGAAAATGTATAAACATTCATTCCGTAAAAGGCAACACGTTTAATTAACGATGAGAGAGCAGTTAGGGGCAGAAAGCTAGTAAAATTGTGTGATAAATTTATGGCATTGTTAGCGTGCTTTTAATTATGGCTATTATGTTAATTATTTCACATTAGCATGGAGTTATCAGCAGCATGTCAGATTTAATCAAAACGAGCCTTTCTCTCGAAAATTGTGCTTTTCATTCGCCGCGAGGAGAACGGGGGGTCCCGAGACGAAGTCGCTCCCCCCCCCTTCTTTATTTATTTAAAAATAAATAAATGAAGGCTTTTAAAAAGAGACTTCCCATTGAAAAGAGTGGCTGGACGTGATCCGGGCTGGTGCAGGCGGCAGATCCCTTTAGGCTACAGCGAGCAGCGCAGGGAGACTGAGGAGAGAAGCGACGCTCTTGTTTTTTAGGAATTCACCATTTTCACCCCCTCCGGAGAAGGCATTTTATCATTTTGGATCATTCTGTCAAACAATATGATGTTGCTCATTTTTATCTGTCCCGTTTTACAAAGCCCCCGTTCACACTGCTGGCCAGGACAACGCGCCTCAGTACAAAAGAATAAAAGAGACAAGCCGGGAGGATATGGGATCGCTGCATGGATCAAAAAGGAGGGAAGAGGAGGAGGTGTGTGAGTGTGTGTGCGTGTGTGTGCGCGGAGGGGCTCGCAGCGGGCCGGGACCCTCTCCCTGCTCGGCGCTGCGGGGCTGCTCCCGCACACGCTCCGCAGCCCCCGCGACCGCCCCCCGGCCGGGCCGGTGATGCCGGGGGAGGCGACCCGCCGCTCCCCCAGGCGCTTCCGAGCACAAATAAAAATAATTAAAAATATATAAATGCAAAGGAAAATTAAAATCGCCGGTTTGACAGCGGCGGAGTTTTGGGGGGCTCCGTCCGCGCCGAGGTGCGGAGCTGCCCCCGCCGCGCCGGCAGCCCCGCGCCCGCGGAGATCTGCGGGGATCGCTCCGCACCGCCCCGCGCAGCCCGCCCGGCCCTGCCCGCGCCCCCTCCTCCGGCCGGCCCCACTCCCCCTTCCCCACGGGAGCGGGGGGCTGCGACCACGGCAGCTGCTGGCTTATTTTTAGAGCATTTCCATTCCTCCGGTTAATTTTAGATCGATCCATTATTTAGCCCCAGTTCGCCTTTAGGGAAACCCAAGCTGGGGGCGGCCGGCGCTCCGCGGCCGCGGGACTTTCCGCCGTGCGGAGGAAAGACAACTTCGGGGACCCCCCCGAGCCCTCTGGGCTGCCGCAGGGACGAGGCGCCGTTCCCCGCGGAACCCGCGCTGCCCCCCATCCCCGCGGCCCCCCGCGCTGCTTGCGCGCTGCCCTTCCCGCTGAGCTCGCATTTCATCCAGGCGCAGATTTTCCACGTTCCGAGGCCTTTCCTCCTGGGAGAGACACCCCCAAATACACACACGCCCCCCTCCCTCCGCGCCCCTCCGAGCCAGGCGGAGACGCCGGAGCTGCCCCGCGGCCCCGGTCCCGCTCCCCGCCCGGCCCCAGGGGACCGCGGGCGGGCGCAGGGAGGCACAAACCACCTCCCCTGGGCCCCCCCGCAGGGATGCGGTTGTCTACGCGGGTATATGTACCCGCACACTCTCCCTCTGGGCAACCCTCGCCGTCGGGGCCGGACAGCGCTGCAGCCCCGCACCGTGTCCGTCCTCCCACCGCCCCTACGGTTTCACCCCGAGCTTCTCCCCCCTCCGGATTTAGACACCAGCCAAACACCGTGTTTATGGAAAAACACGAATCGCCTCGAATTTGGAGTTAATTTTGCTGTAGGTGCGTCTCGGCCCTGGTCATTGTCTCCTCGCTCCTGCCTCTCCCCTGGGAGCCGG